GATCTTCCAGCGATTCCGTCGAGTTGTAGCGAGGTTTCCGATGATTCCGAAGCTTCACCAGGGCCAGCATCACCCTCTGCTGTTAATCATGGACCTTCTGTGAAACAGAATGCTCATCTACATGAGCGCCATGCAAGTCAATTACCGGAGTATGTGCTAGCTCTAGCAGCCCATTCAGCAGAAAATCAACTCAAGGAGCAGGCCCTCGCGGCTTTCCCCAACGAACAAGTCTATCAGCCCGTGGATCATTTTGCAGTTGACAGAGAGGATGATGACTCTCCGAAGGATGATGAGCTACAAGTCCGCACAAAAATATTTACATCTGGCATACATCGACGGGCCTCGTCCGCAGATCTGCCATGGGAACTTGAGTACTTGCGCAGGCATAAGGAGGAGGCCGAGATGTGTGATCGTGCTATGGCTGGAACAAAGGGATTGCATTTCTCACCCCCTGATAGGCGACCTTTTGACGGAGCTAGCGAGACTCGTGGAATCTGGGCTGGTGGGTTTGGTTTGAGACAAACAAGGCCAGGCATAAGTCCGCCCATGCTTGGAGAAGATCTTGTATTCCCACATAGTGTTTCCCCCGAAACAACAATATGTGAGAGCAGCAACGTTGAACATTACATCACCCAAGACAAACGGTATCACAATGCTGGGCTTTGGTATGCAAACCGCCACCTTTTCGATGACTGTGATGGTGGCGGTCTTTGGATGGGAACTTGTAAATCCAACAAGTGCCTTTCTCGGTTGGGAGATTCGCACTCAACGAGCCCGCGTTCAAGCGGCAATGCCGGTGGACACACTCAATGCTCAACCGAAACCTTGACAGGTTGTGAGAAACAGTCGTCATCAGATGTCTCAAGGGATGCTGAAAGCTTGGACTCGAGCCACACGAGACAACATGCTAGCGAAGAGGACCTTGACCACGAGTTGACCGATAGCTTTGTGACTCAGATCTACAATTATCTGTCCCTGGGCTATCCCTCTGTTGCTCGCTACTATGATCATGAACTCAGTATCATTTCTGGAATCTCTGTAGCAGATCTGAGACGTGATGACTTAAAGACAGATGCGAAGGGTTACGTCAGTGTTATGGATGGGGGTCCGACGGATCGGAAGGTAGAGAAAGGCCTATGTATGCGGTGGATCGCACTGCGCTTATATATACAAGAGTGGGCTAGGAAACGGCCCAAGGTGGCTGACGACGGTATTCATGGAACATGGGGAGTCTGTGAACGAAAGGGCAGCTGGGCCATCTGATACAGCTATATTATGAATGAAACGGAGTGTCCTAAATCATGGCATATAGCCAGTTGTGTATGAAATCAAGATGCAAGATCTGTGCATGGAAGTTACTGTGGTCCTAGGTATGTCTCATATTCGTTTTGCAGGATCAGGAGCAATGAAACCACGGCTGATACATGATTGGCATTGGTGATATCTAGACTAGATACTGCCTCAAATCTGCTGCCCACATTGAAATTATGACGTCACCTGTAGTCTCATTCTAGCAATAAATCCTCTCCGTCATCCGTATTTATGCCCTCAAATGGCATGTTACTCCGGTGAGCTCTTTCATGCACAATGCCTGGGAAGATCTTCTGTTCTGGCATACGGTCCGCGTTGAGTGCAAATTTGCCAGTAGTGCTAGTACTGCTAAAGGATGTGCTGAACTCCCCAGGAGCACTGAGAATGCTTGTTTCAGGCTCTTGTGCTGTAAAGCCCCCAACAGATGCACTTTTTCTGACGTTTGGGCTCGCAGGCTGCGGAACCATGCAGTCCTCTCCTACACTTGCTCTTTGGTATTGAGAAGTTGAAGAGTCATCGGTACATTCCAATGAGACTATGACAGCATAAGGGCCAGATCACTCGATACTTAGATATGTAAAAGCATACCTGAACTCGAATCACCTGGTACTTGAGGAAGCAGTGGCCCCGAGGATCCCAAGTGATTGATAGCGGCAACAGTGGAACCTTTCAACCGAGCTGTTGTATCGTCCCCCGTATTTGCATGCCGCTCGATTCTAAGGAACCTAGAGTTAGCTTATATCCTCCATTCTGTTTAATAACACGGCATCTTTCGGCGCATTCCAAGGGATTGAAACCTACAGTGTCAATTCACCAATCAAAGTTTCATGTCTAAATTGTTCACGAATGTCAGGGACATTGCTTTTGGCAACATTGTTTCCTGCAACTCCCTGTAGGCAGCAGTTGTTGCCTAACCATCTCTTCTTCAAAGATGTCTCGAATCCGCTCTGTTCGACTGAATGCTTTGCAAGCTCACACATATCTACCGCACTAAACTTGTATATCTGCGCAGCAACTGAATATTCCTCAATAAGAGGCTCTTTGGTAAAAGCAAACTGCAAGGGATCATCAGTAGACAAGGAAACGTTGAGGCCTCTCTTGAAAAAGTTAGCACAGGGGTTCTTGTCATAGGTTAGAAACAGCGCATTGTTACTGAGGGGTGACATAGCAATGCCTATCTGGTCGAGATAATATAGGTACTGCAGCAGGGGTACCTTTCTCAGAAGGATTCCATGACTGATACTATGGCAGCACAGGAATCCCACTGCAAGATGATCGGGATCCCCAGCCTCGCCACAGTGTGGCCTCAAGACGAATGTGTTAAAACCGCGTTGCTTGCGCCAAGTATTGAGAGATGCGATGTTGGCAAACATGAAATATATCCAATAGCTGTACGGAGGATTTTGCTTTGTATTCCATTCCCTTGGAATTGGATATTTCCTGTATAGTCGCCGCTCCGCTTTGCTCTCGTCATCAACACTGTCAAATCCAACCACACGTTGCAAAAAGATATGGAGCTTTGGGTGGCTATTTGGATCCTTCGTCACTTCGAATAATGGCTGGAAAACGTTTGTGATCACCTGCTCGAAATTCTCCATCATGCCGCTCGACTTGTACACATCATAAAGTCGAGGTACCTGGATCAGCCAACGGACATTAGGAGAAAAGAGCTTATTATCAACGACCCAGGCTGCAAGCTTGTCCCACTCTTGGATGGATCTTCCATATATGGAGATGCGCCATTCCACCATTTGGTATTTGCTTGATTCCAAGTCAGAAATTACTTCCTTGGTTATCTCGGCCAGGTAGCGTCCTTTAATGAAATTGTCCGTCTTCAGGAATATTTCACGCAACCTCGATTCACCCACAGGGTTGTACTTGAGATTGAACTTGTCAAAACGGTGGAAGGAATCGGTGTGTGCCTGTACCACACTTAGTAGCAGAACGGTTTAAGGTAATGCTTTGAGACATACATGCATATCAAGAGTATCGATACTCAAGTCATAAGCCGTCAGATTGATACTCTCAAAGACTTCTCTTAGTGTCAGATGCTTGCCGTCGCGAAACAATACTACTTCATCGGGGGATTTCTTCATCTTGCTCTTGATGAAGCGAAGAAGATGTTTCTGATTCATACACGCAGAGTGATGAACATGTGTGTCGACTTTTCGGACATTGTAAAAATCTCTATGGGGTACTTTCTTGCTGTCGGCAATCTCTTGGTATTCGTTTAGGAGAGCATATAGCTGAAACTTCCCTTCCAAGTAGGAAAGCCGCTTGAACGCAAAGCTTTTAGCTGGGCCATCTGTTGACACGTCCGTTACCGCATCAAGGTCCATATAAAAATCCCGCAAGGATGGGATCTTGACCACAGGCTGCCGTAGATCAGCCGCTGCATCGTTTTCATAGACTTGATATACACTATTTTCATCCAGTCTGTATACCCAGCGGGACTCTCTAGGAAGCGGCAAGCAATGGGCCATGTCAAAATCTTCCCCAACATCTTGGCCCATTTTCCGCCTTTTTTGATCGATACGGGAGCTATCGGTACTTCTACCAATGTCCCCCTCGTTATCCCAGGCTGGTTCCGGGGGAGGGGGGTATATCTCCCAGTCGGGATGATCTTTCGGGTTATCCTCAGGCCCCTGCAGAGATAGTTGTATATACTTTGTCCGGCGGTCAAGCAAATTTTTCATCTTGCGACAGATAACATTCAACTCAGAAGTGACCGCGCTGCTATCTGCCGAGATGTTCATCATACCCTGAACTGCCCCCGAGGAGTCGCTAGTATTCTCTGCATTAAGCGAACGTGACAAAGACGTTTCATCCTTTTGCACATCATGTGGCTCGGGGTGTTGTCGAGACGCAGAATAGTTTGTGGCATGTTTGCCATTTGGGGAAGTCATATCTGGTTTGTTGGTCGGCGAAACAGTAGTGACTTTGATAGTTGGAGGTGACCCTGCCATGTCTCTAGGATCAGAGTCGCCTGCTAAAGTTGCCATAGCTGATGCTTCGTTGTGATGATCCCCATCAAGATTCCGAGATGCGATTTGGTGATGCTGGTAAAAGAGCTTTGCTTCAGCGTGGCTCATTGACTTTTCAAATGCATAATCGTAAGTGGGTGTCTTCAATTGTATATCCCTTGGTAGAATACTTCCGGAATCTGTTTCTGCTGAATCAAAGTCGCAGTTGTTCGGTTCAACCGCTTCTATCCCTTCGTCACCAGGAACAAGTAATGGGCCGTCGACATTACTGTTACTTTGTAGAACAACATCATTTTCCGATGGACTTTGAAATGCGCTGGCATTGGCATCCAGCTTGGGAGCATGACCTGAATGTGAAGAGGTCATCCCTTGACAACTGCCACGGCAGTTTACACGAACAGGTGCTTCCGTACAATATTGTGACACTGATTAGGTCCAAACTGCTGGAGGAAATTTAGTATGAGCAAACTGGAGCTTCACCGCTGATCGTAAACGTAAGTTTATGTAATTCAAGGTAATACCCGCTGCTGCTATTGCGCCTGCCGGGGTCCAAGATGTATTGGTTGTATCAGACATTTCTCATTCCAATATGTACAGCTGGTAAGACAGAATAGGATTTTCGGGAGCCAAATGTTTTAATTGATAAATAATCATACTAGCATTTGTATCTAATACCTTAGGTAGTACCTGCCTCGTTACTCGGCGTTTCTTGCACACTACGCGCTGGCCCTAAAACTTGTCACATGATCGCACTTACTAAATGTACTCGTTAACTAACTAGTTAAATTAACTTCACTATGATGTGATTAGTTACTTTGACAAAGCTACTACTAGTTCGACTTCCAGGGAACACAGTATTTGGTACGTCCTCTTACACGTAACGTCATTCTGGAAGCAATCGAAAACTTCTGATCTATCTATCAATGCTGACTGGTAAGTCTAAGTATACAATGTAAATTACCATGACAACATTGTTATGCTGTTAAAGGGACCAAGGCAAGTAAAGTGTACATATAGATATATATAATAAGTACTGTGGGTTGTCATGCAAGGCTTATTCGTGCCAGCCAATTGGCTGCAGAAAAGGAAGCCAGCTCTCCAGTACCTGGTTAGAACATAAAGGAACATTTGTAAAGTGCTAACTGCTAACACTATATAAAAAGCCGAGCTTTCGAGGTAACGCTCAGATCAGGACTTTGCTGAAACCAACCCCGACCTTTAATTTGTGGCTCGGGGTGTATAGTAGGTGCACCACAGCTTTGCACCTTCAATGCGTTTTCATATGACGTGCGGAGTAGATCAGTGGTATCTCAAGTGATCCCTGGCATGCGCATTATATGTAGACATATTTCCCCCCTCTGCCACCCCGCGCCCCAATTCTTACAGTCTTTACTGTTGGATATCATCTGCAGCCAGAACTATCCAGTATCCCCCTATGTTCTCTAAAACTCCATTGAGCCCGATCTTAAGCCAGATTTACAGTAACTATCCGAATACTTACGTGCAAAAGCATTCTCTGTGGCATTCGGCACGGTAGGAAAGTTATCCGGGTGCCTGGGTACCTTATTCGTACTAATACCGAAAGGGGAATGCACCGCCTCACCCGACTATTGTTCCGGATTCCGGTCACCCCCCCATGCTCCGTAGAGAGTGACGTATCCTGCTAGTCTAGACATGACCCCTAGGCAGACACAACTACTCCTATTTACGCTACTATCACCCGGTGTTCTTCCATACATACAAATCATTTTTAGTTGATAAAGGTATCACAATTCAATCACGCTAGTATCATACAGGTTTGGAGCGTTCCTAGTGACCCTTTAGCCACGTCTGACAAGGGACAATTGTGTTAGGTTATTACACAGACATTCGAAACTTTTGTGGTGAACCGCTGGTAGATATGGCGACCCTGAACTTATCAGCAAATGGACCTTCGATATCAAAGAGCTATCAAAATGTCGTGAACTCCTCTCTTGCGGGTTCTGACACAAGTTCTCCTACCTATGGACAATGGGCGATCTTCTCCGTTTCTACACCACTAGTCAATGCTTTCCAGAAAGAGAGTTCCAACAAAGAAAGTGTCTTGAAAGTTCAAGATACCGGAGGTGAGTCTCCTTTCCCAGCTAAATGAAACTCTTAACTGACTACATGCAACAAGCCGGAGAATTGGCGGATCTTATTGATGAATTTTCAGAAGGGAAAATACAGTTCGCTTATGTCAAGGTTGTAGATCCGAATTCGGGTCTTCCCAAGAATGTTCTAATTGCCTGGTGCGGCGAAGGTGTCCCTGAACGGACAAAAGGATATTTTACCAGCCACTTGTCTGCCGTTTCGAAGTTCTTGCATGTTAGTTCACACTTGCTCCAGGGTTTTTAGTCATCGTCTGACCCAAAGATCTATCAGGGATATCACGTACAGATAACTGCTCGCTCGGAGGGAGACCTAACCGCCGAGGGAATCATACAGAAAGTTGGCGATGCATCTGGTGCAAAGTACACTCCAGGTACAGCCCAACAACCATCCTTGACACCCAAGCCGCCGGTATCCACGAAGCCTGTTTTCACCCCTAGCCGCACTGCTGGCATTGATTTGGGAGCAGAGGTATCGGGCCCACAGCGGCTAGTCCGGAGCCATGATGACAATGATGGCTGGGGCGCTGATGCGCCACCCATTACCAGGACCGAGCTTGAAAAGGTCCAACCAGCCTATAAGCCGACGAAGGTTGATATCCAGAAACTGAGGTCAGAGTCAAAGGATGCCACCAATGTAGGTGATGGGCACCGTCCTGAGGATCGTGGCGATATTGTCAAAGGCGGTTATCAGCCTGTTGGGAAGGTAGATATTGCCGCAATCCGGAAGCAGGCACGTGAAGCAGGCAACATAAGTGATGATAAGCCAGAGCCTGTGAGGGGTGCATATGAGCCTGTCGGAAAAGTCGACATCGCTGCAATCCGCTCCAAGGTACAGAAACCAACCGTTTCTGTAGCTGACAATGAGCGCGGGCCTCATGAGCTGGCTGATCATGCAGCGCCGCCCAGCAGTTCCGAGCGTTTGAGAAGCTTACCGAAGCCGAAAGTGGCGAACAAGTTCGGTATTAATTCAACGTTCGTGGGCACAAAACCGCCTCTGCCTGTTGTCCCTTCTACGAAGCCGGGCTCTTCTACCGCACAGATTGGCAGTGCAAGCCGTACGTTTGCCGATGAGGGTGGAAAGACGCCGGCACAACTCTGGGCAGAGAGGAAAGCTAAAGAGCGTGGACAAGACGCTGTGTCGGTCCCGCCACCGTCTGATGGCGCTACTTCTATCAACCAGGAAAGTGGAAAGGGGGAATGGAAGAGTTCCTATAGCGGCAAAACTTGGGCCCCGGTTCAGACCACAAACACCGGCAAGTCACTCGATAATGACGTTCCGCAGCCGTACCAGGCATCAGATTCTACACCTACTGAGTCGGCCCAAACCGATGCCCAAACTCTCCAACCAAGCGTCAGTGCTATCAGGGACCAATTCTCTCAGGGCCCTTCGCCAGACTCCCCTCTGGTACGAGACAGTGCCATGAATAGCAGCCATTCCATTCCTTTACCTGGCCTGCAGGTCGATTCTCAGGACTCGGAGACCCCTCAAGAGTCCGTAACTCATCAAGAGCTCCCTACCCCACCGCAACAGCCTCGATCTCCAACCCCACCAAGCCCGGAGCGCGAAACTTCCCCAATACGTGTTGCCCTACCTGTGGGTAAAGGGCTTACTGATGTCCACGACGAGCAACACTCACCACCTGTAATACCCATTGGAAGTCTACAAGAGGCAGTGCCGAAAGACGACGAGCTGGAGGAGGACGTGCACGACATTGGACGGGCCACAGCCCAAGCTACTGTTGGTGATGAAGTTCAAGAAAACGGGATCAAAGCTCTCGTGCAGTATGATTACGAAAAAGCGGAAGACAACGAGATCGAACTGAAGGAAGGCGAGTACGTTACTAATATTGAAATGGTCGATCAGGACTGGTGGTTAGGGTCGAACGCCCAGGGAGATAGAGGTCTTTTCCCCAGCAATTATGTGGAGGTAGTTGCAGATGACGAACAGACCCGGGCGGCTTCAGAGCGGGGCGAGGATACGGTTGAAACGGTCTCTTCAGTGCCTGTCGCGAAAGTCACTGAATCTCCGGCTCCGGCTCCGGCTCCAATTAATGAGTCTACTGCGACAGCGCTGTATGATTATGAAGCCGCTGAAGATAACGAACTCAGCTTTCCAGAGGGCGCTGAAATAACGAACATTGTAAGTCGTGAATATTCAAGCCAATAATTCTCGGTGCCCCTTTCCTTCCTCTTCCCAGCATGTGGGGAAGCCTCCAATTATTGATAGCTGACCATCTGGGCCATTGCCTATGCTCTCCAGGAATTCCCCGATGATGATTGGTGGTTTGGTGAGTACCTTGGTAAAATGGGGCTCTTCCCAGCCAACTATGTGCAACTTGCGAAATAAGCAGTGCACTCCTTGCCTGCTTCTTTATACAACTCGCTGTGTGCGACAGCCCAGTACGGTACGTTGGACGAGTTGACCATTAAGACATCCACTGTTGAGGGGAGAAGAGCAGAAGTATGCCTGCGAATGTGTGTGACTTGCCTTGGCAGGTTGTTGTGGGCTTGTTTCCTGCCTTTGTTGCTTTGTAAATGTACTTAATATGCACTTGTTATCAATGCATGTTGTATAGTTTCCAGCCTTGTACTGCTAATTTAGCGGAGTCTGAATATTGCTAGAGTCGAGAAGATGGATGTTGTTGGTCTAAGCAAACTTCATCGAAGCAGGAAGTGGCTGAAGTTCACAATTACCTGGGTGCATAGAGTACGTAGCACTTTGTAGATAGATGCCTGGAAAGCCGACGGACAGTCTATTAACACGAACGAATTGGAGGGTTGGAAAGCGGCGCCACATTTTTATTAGTAATAATCACATGACATTGCGGTCTAACTCTACTACTACGCATGAAGTCCGGAGGAGGTAACCATTGAAGGTACTCCAATAAAGGATAAAGGGCGCTGCCCGAATTGCATACATCGTTATTTCTTCTTTGATATTTGAAGTACTGAAGAAAGGTTAGCCCCATTTGCTGTGACCGTTGGCAGGGCCATTGTGAGCATTCATTACCTAACATGATTCTGTACTTCTCAGTTATTTTTTTTCCCACTATTGGCAAGAAAATCATCCACGCGTGATAAAGACATTGGGGCCAGTGTCGTTGGGCACTATTATAAAGATGACAGCTCTTAGCGAAGATTTGCTTGTAACTGTGAACAAGCTTCAAGATCTTGTCTTTAATACGATCGGAAATGACTCCCTTGACTTGCCGCAGATTGTAAGTCCCTTCAATGTTCACCCGGCCCGGTGCCACCAATGCTACGGTGCTAACCATCTGTGCAGGTTGTTGTGGGCTCTCAGTCGTCCGGCAAATCATCCGTACTTGAGAACATTGTTGGTAGAGACTTCTTACCACGAGGTAGTGGTATAGTCACAAGGCGCCCATTGATCCTCCAACTCATAAATATTCCCAGCGAACGGCACGACAAGCCTGAAAGTGATGAGGTTCATATACCTCATACAGCAGCAAGTGTGGCGGGACAGTATGAGTGGGCAGAATTTCATCATCTCCCTGGCCGCAAATTCGATGATTTTGCCTTGGTCAAGCAGGAGATTGAAGCTGAGACCGCAAGGATAGCTGGAAGCAACAAAGGAATTAACAGGCAGCCCATCAATCTCAAGATTTTTTCCCCACACGTACTCAATCTTACCATGGTTGACTTGCCGGGGTTGACGAAAGTGCCTATCGGGGACCAACCGTCCGATATTGAAAAGCAGACACGGGCTTTAATACTCGAATACATAGCGAAGCCGAACAGTATCATCTTAGCCGTTTCGCCTGCTAATGTTGATCTTGTGAACTCTGAAGCTTTGAAACTTGCTCGTCAAGTGGATGCCATGGGTCGAAGGACGATTGGGGTTTTGACGAAACTGGACCTCATGGATCATGGCACGAACGCCATGGATATCCTTTCTGGCCGGGTCTATCCTCTGAAGCTCGGTTTCATTGGAGTTGTTAATCGATCACAGCAAGACATTCAGTCTGGGAAGTCATTGTCCGACGCATTGCATGCTGAAGTCGATTTCTTCCGACACCACCCAGCCTATCGGAATATGGCGAACCGTTGCGGTACTCAGTTTCTTGCGAAAACCCTGAATACCACCCTAATGTCTCATATCCGGGATCGGCTTCCTGACATAAAAGCGCGTCTTAACACTCTTATGGGTCAAACTCAGCAAGAACTCGCAAGCTACGGCAACAAACAGTTCAGCGGGAAGGAACATCGTGGGTCCCTTATTCTACAGCTTATGACGCGCTTCGCTTCATCTTTCATATCTTCGATTGATGGAACGTCCTCCGAAATCTCAACCAAAGAACTTTGTGGAGGGGCAAGGATATATTATATCTTTAACTCGGTCTTCGGCAACTCTCTCGAAACAATTGATCCTACACATAACTTAACTGTTACTGATATTAGAACTGCCATTCGGAACTCGACTGGTCCACGTCCGAGCCTGTTTGTTCCCGAGCTCGCTTTTGACCTGCTTGTCAAGCCTCAGATAAAAATGCTAGAAGCTCCTAGTCAGAGGTGTGTTGAACTGGTGTATGAGGAGCTCATAAAGATTTGTCACACGTGCGGCTCGCAGGAATTGCTTCGCTTTCCACGGCTTCAAGCGAAACTGATAGAGGTGGTGTCTGATCTTCTTCGTGAGCGTTTGGGACCGTGCTCAGCATATGTTGAATCGCTCATTTCCATACAGAGGGCGTACATTAATACAAACCATCCTAACTTCCTCGGTGCAGCAGCAGCTATGTCGTCTGTCATGCAGAACAGGCAAGAACAGGAACGACGGGCAGCGTTAGCCGATGACCGGAAAAAGCGCGAGAAGAGACGGTTGAAAGAACTTGGAGCGGTGAATGGAAACCCGCCAGCATCCCCTGAGGATGAGGACGAACAGCATACAGATTCCAAGACGCAGAATATTCCTATCAGGAGTCAACCTACGAGAAATACCAGAAGCATGTCCCCTCACTTTGGTAAGGGACAAGAAGGTGGCGTGACCGCAACCTTGAATGGAGCTCATGCAAATTCTCATCAAACAGCTTTTGGAACAACCAATACCACTCGTGACTCGTTCCTCAACTACTTCTTCGGTAAGGACGGCGCGCAACCTGCCAGCTCATTACCTCAGCTGTCGAGTCAGAGCCGTCCATACACCAACGTCAATGAAGCAAGCATTAGTCACAACACTCGCCGGACTGATATGCGTGCCCCTATCATGTCAGCTGATGAGTACCCACCCCCTATGGAATATACTGGTGATGTCGGAGCTGCCGTAAGACCATCATACCCTTGGTTACCCGAAAGATATGTGCTGATCCGTTACTGTAGCCGAAGGAAGACCCCGAAGCTGTCCTCTCTGACCGTGAGCTATTAGAGACGGAGCTGATTAGTCGACTAATATCATCTTACTTCAACATCGTCAGAGAAACCATCGCAGATCAAGTTCCTAAGGCTATCATGCATCTCCTTGTCAACCACAGCAAGGATGTCGTGCAAAATAGACTCGTGAGCGAACTTTATAAAGAAGATCTATTTGCGGAGCTCCTTTACGAGGATGACGGCATCAAAGCGGAGAGGGAGAAGTGCGAGAGATTGCTGGATACGTACAAGGAGGCAGCAAAGATTGTCGGAGAAGTTCTGTAAGATTATCTGTGAAGAACAGACTGGGGAGCATCAGCTTGCGCTATCACCCAAGACATGGTCCAGCTGCTGGCTTCTGAAAGCCCGAGGCCCGGGTGGTATTACACATCTCTGTAGTTATAGTTTGACATATTATCATCACCTGCAGTAATTCACAGTAACATCATGCGGACCAATAGAGAAGCAGTAGTGGCGCAAGTAGTTTAATTGAAAGAGACTTGAGCATCGCCTATTAGTGGCCATCGATGCGTCGAAGTCAATGGAAGTAAGATCTACGCATTGATCTGCATTCTAATGTATATATTCATAGTCATAAAGCTCGAGGCAACGCTCGGGACACACATACGAACACACAACACACGCAGACGTATATAAATATATATGCATCTTTCTATCTTTACCGTCTGGAACACCTTCCCAGCCGTAACAAAGACGGGGAAGACAATTCTAGCGAAACATGACTGCCTTAATCATTTTTAGCAGATTTCACCCTGGGGCGCGCACCCTCAAAGCCATATAAGGCGCCGCCAATGAAAACAAACAACGCGCCCATGAGCACACCCGGTGAAAGGGCATTCCCAAACAGATAGATGGAGAGGAGGAGGGAAACAAGCTTCCGAATATTCAGAACAACGGTGACAGTCAAAGAAGACGATTTTGCAGAGAGGAGGTGGACTCCTCGTATGCACAAGTACTGCGTCAGTGCATTAATCAAAAGGTAGATTACGCGTGTTGGAACACACGTGAAGATTGAGTGTAATTGAAAAGTATCTTTCAAAATCGGATTCTGCCCCGATAGACTGCGGAATATTGACGCAAAATGCCATCCCTCGCACGACTCTTCCGAGGAACTGATGCTTTCAAGACCGGCCGATGATGCATGGCTCGGAGGACCCATTCCAGTCATGCCCAAAACTTCAGGCCCAGAAGTTAGAGGATATGTGGGGAAAAGCGTCCGCCACTGGCTCGCAAGTTGTGCATAAGCAGGTAGAAACAGCGGTAGTGATAGGGTGTGAGAGTAGAACAGAGCTTCTTTCCAGTGGTCTCGGCCGTACTTTTCGTAGAGCCTGTCCGCATATATCCCCTGGAAAGCCGAGAGTATCATCGCTAGAGCAAGGATGGTGAATCCAACCAATGTCGTGGTTGCAGAAGTGCTCTCAACATTCATAGATTGGCCCTTAGCCTTGGCATCTGCCAAAGCAGCAGTGACCACACCCAAAGTAAGCAATAGAACCGCAAGTATTTGCCCTCGCGAATATCTCTTAGCATTAAACAAGTAACCGATAATCATAGACGCTACTGGCCCCCCGGATCTTAGAATAATGTGCAACGGGACTGAAATCTTGTATGCAAAGGCCCAGTTGTTGAGAAGATTGACTGTAACGAAAAAAGCCGTGTAGACTATCCATGATCTTAGTGGAATGGCACGTGGACTAAGATATAGTGAACGCGGTCCCGCTGACACAGAGAGAAAGCCTGGAACCGTGAAGACTGCAGTTAGAAGAAACTGCGCAAACGTTATCAGAGGACCTTGAGCGAAGATGTTAGAGAAACCTGGGATGGCAATGCTTGCTTGATGGAGATTATATACCAGAGCTTGGCTGGTCTCTAGACAGGAGTCAGTCTCGTTCAAAATCTTGCGAGTTGCGAAAGCACTCACTTGATGATTGCTTCGAGTGCAAAAACCTACCATCCGGTGTTAGTAGCGGAAGCTAGCCATACCTGGGCACATACTCACATTGGCGCAACAGCCACCAAAAATCAAGGAGGACATTAGAATAATATTCGTCCATTGAGGCAGTACTGTATGAGTGGTAGCACTTAATACACTTGTTAAGTGCCCAGAAGTGGCACCTGTAGATCCCATAACCTCATCATTCCTTTTTGCCCGCTTCAGAACCTTTTCGGAACCCACATTGGTTATCCCATTACCTGAAGTTATAGTAGTTTTGAGCTTGTAGTCAACATTCGGTTTACTCTCTGTCTGTGTCGAAAGGGGGTTACGGTCATGAACCGAAAATTTTCGAGCGGACATTTGCTGGCCGTGTTCTGTATCAGACGAAAGAGTAAATTGAGGCCAAAGAAAGGGACAAGGGAAAGGCACGATTGGAACGAGAGTGACGTGAGAGTCGGGCTCTGGTCGAAATGTGATTATGTTATACGTGTTATTAGGTTAGTTACCTAACAGTAGGTATTACTTATACTTACTGTAAGTGGTATAGTGTGCATATTTCGGAGAAGGTGCCTTATTTCCGCTACATCTTCTTACTTATTTACAAGTACATTCATCACAACCCGGAATTTTGGAGCAGGGTCCTCCTTCATTATATGATAATTTACATAGATATATATATGATATATATATATTCCAAACATGGCTTGAAGCTTTGACACACACACACACACACACACACACACACACACACACACACATGAGAAAGACTCTTCCATATGATATCCCAGTGTAATCAGAGGAGTAAATATGATTAGAACTTGATTAGATGTCTTCATAATTAAAAGATTATTCTGTTTGGTATATTCTACCTTTACGCGCAACGTACAGGCATGCCTTAATAAGTGCCTCTATCAAGACAACCAGCAGGCAACAACAGGCCTGCTTTGGGGATTAGACCTACTAGTACAGTCTGCTAAGTAGTGTGTACCTTAGTGACACAAACCTTGGGCTAATTTAGGGCTTTAACTAACAAGGTACTCTCAAAGATTCTTACAGAATACAAGTCCAGTATCTGATATAGCCATTCTGCCTGGTATATGAAGGAAACTTGCTGTGGAAGAACGTCCACAAGAATACATATCTACAGCCGATCCAGACTGGCTTCAGACAGTAAATGATACTCAGGGAATAGCACCTTAGGCGTATGCTTGATGCGGATTGGATGGCCCCGCATGATATGCCAGGATAATATCGAGGGGAGTAGGGCGAGGGGAGACTTGGGAGCATGTATTTCCATGTATATTCTGTGTTGCCTAACCCTAGATGCTGGCGACCTACTTGCTGCTGGCCGCCACTAGCAATCAATTGATCATTCAATTAATAACCATCTACCGTGATCTACAGGACACCCCGTTCCCCCCATGGGAGCAAGCATCCCAGAAAGTCACCCTCTTACACTGTATTTGGCTTCCTACGCTTAGACTATTGAGTCGTTAGAATTTCATTGTTGCAGAAGAGGGTATTGCAAGCATTATATCCAATTCAAGATTGGATGATATTAGTAGTCGTCTACAATATCATCATCAGCCAGAAAAAGTCTCTCCTTCTCCAGGGACGGCGGCAGCTGGGGTCCAAAAGTATTGCTGTGATATCGACGACTGGTTCGCGATGAGCTTCCTGTAGGAAGGCTCTTCCACTGTGCGGTAGATGCGATTGATGGTAACTCAACTTGGTAGTCAAGCATTTCAAAGTCATTAGCATCACTCTGATTCTTAGTCCCGCTGAGCTTGGTAAGCCTATGGAGTCCTTGGAATTGCTCAAAGTCTCCTGCTATTAAAGCCAGATACGGCAGTTGGTGAAGAATGAGATCACTGCGTGACATCATGGTAACAGCTACAGTTGGTTTACTGCGGCTGTCACTTAAGCTAGCGGCCCCCTCAGGTTTGAAGCCCGATATTGATGGGTCCAATAGTTTAGCTGACCATATGTCTATGAGATCTTGTATCTCTTCCATATCTCGAAGCAATCGCAATGAAGCCGGAAAAAGCATTTTATATGCACTTCTTGTATGGTTCGAGCCGTTATTGGACCATGCAGATCTCTTCACAGGGCTTGGAAGAGCAAACAATATACCTCGAGTAGCAACTTGATAACTGAGGTCTTCTTGACGCAATGAGTCCGATCCGGAGTTGTATCTACTAACACCAGCCAGCCCGAACTTGCTTCGTCCCCTTGTGTCGAAAGACAGCATATCGCTGTCGGATAACGCACCTATGCAACCATCCAGATAGTCTGTAAATGATGGACCGTTGCATGATGGAACATAGTTCTCGTGAAGAGCGCTAATGAAGGTTTGGTTATCGGTTCCGGCTTCATCCACAAGTTCGTTGACACATACTTGGGATGATTGTGGCCGCTTATGGTGGCTTAAGTAGTCTGGGGGCAACACAACTTGGGCGTCTTCAGTTGAACCTGCATCGACACGTTTGTTATACATAATCTTGCCAACGGCGTGAAATAGCCCAAGACTTGCTTCTCTCTGTGTAATTAAATCCAATGTCTCCCTTTCAAGGGGCGTAAGAGGTATGCTAGATCCTTTCGAATTCTTGGTTTTTGGGGGTGGAAATTTCTTGAACCCTCCGGAATTCATGCAAACAAATTCTAAGGACGAGATTGCACTCCGAATGTCCCCAATAGTAGAGATATTATGAAGTATGGCAGGGCCTGGAAACCTCTCACGTTTGGAAAGTCGAGCCTCCTTTTCTAGAACGAGATGCAGAGCCTTGTACATATATGTCGGGGCTATGCTATTAAAATCAAGGATGCTCGTTTTCGGGTGGTTGTAGAGTACTGGCCCTAGCAACCGATGAGCTGTTAGGCTATCTGACGGGAAAGATCGTGAGTTAAGAAGCGTTTCTGACACGACCAAGACAATTGGGGAGGTTCGCTGCACATCAGTTTCGGGATTAATGTTTTGTTGTGGTATTCTGTCAAGATACCGCAGAAGAGCTAGTCTGAAGGGAATCAGGCCAGACGCAGAACCTGTAAGCGTTGGAAACTCTTCTATGAGAATTATGCGATGTCGCGAAGCATATGCATTCTTGCTATTATCTTCAAGCCCGGGAGAGCTAGCCACCTCTTCTAGGTCAAGACATTTGAATTCGTTCCCACGCTCCAGGAACTCATCAAAACGGGAAGCAATTGATACATGTGCTTTGGTGGCGGACTCTGACGAAGAAGGGTTTTTCCATTCGAGAATGTCGAAATTCAACACAGCTGATAGTAATGAAATTGTAGCCGTCTTACCGCTTCCTGCAGGACCTCGAAGGACAAGTAGCTTGTCTTCCGTTAGCAAAGAGTCAATGTAGCGAGGCATGGTGCTAGACAACTCTTCCTTGAACTGATATGGAACGGAGAATGAATGGCAAGGTAAAATTACAAAGTGGGGGGGGGGGGGAAAGGGCCGATAGCTTACCTGTCGCTCTCTTCTAGCAAATGTACTGATTAACCAGCTTTTCACATCAGAAACCTTCTTCTGGTGAACCGCTAATTCTTCTATACTGGATGGAGCGAACTGCTGCGCCCATGGCAAGGTTCTATGACCGGGTTGTAAAGAATGTGATCTGGATTTAGGCTGCTCGGTGGAAATGAGGAACCGGTTGGCCATCCCAGCAGACCGTGGTCTAGGTTGGGGAGTTTTAGTTGAAACATCTTGGTCCAAGGGAGTTGCCCAACCGTCCGCCAGAGTATCTGTATCGAACGTGATGTGGCGGGTGAATATTTCATCAAACGAATCATAATCATCTTCGATTATTTCGTTGCTGCTTCCTGTCCCATCTGTAGATTCTGAATTTTGCCGTTCACCGATTTCTCGCGCGGGCAATTGCTGTTTGAGATTTGCGGGGCCATAGAAGCTATGTAGGGAATTCTTCGTAGTCGTAGCATCCACTGGATGCTTGCGTTTCATTTTCTTTGGTTATTCGCGGTCTGCAAGGTAAACAGTCCGGGGCTAACGAAGAGACTGGAAGCTGACTGCAATGCTTCGTACAATCGAGATGAATGGGTAAGCAACGCCTTAATCTGAATCCTGCGCCTCCCGATTGAATGACTGTCTAGCTAATTCCGCTGACTTTTCGCGATGGGCCAAGTAATTCATGACCATTTGATATGATGGATGTGAGAAAGCAGATGATTCACCGAGCAAAATTCAGATTTGACATTGATATGTCTGGCTAGAGGCTGATATTAAGTATAAATAAGGAAGGTGAATCATATAGGTGGAATGTTGCAATGCGGTATCGAATTCCTTCTACTCGTTACCGCCTACACAGAACCTAAGTGCTGCACTTTCTGCCCGCACGAGCCTCTCGCCCGCCGCATTAGCCTATATCTGGTATGACTTGGTGGGCCTATGCCAGTGTCTGGACTCTGGAGTCTCTGGACACGGACGCGTCGGCGTCCTTTGTAATTTAGCATGCGCTTATTTAGCGCCACATATAAGAAGTTCACACCCCAGTTAGATGATCAATGCACTGTATGACTACCCCCCGCTCATGACCACATAGAGCTCGGCGGAATTTCCGAGCGGAGGATACAAGTCGTTGTTCTTAGGGTATTCCATTTGCAGGTAGCAGAGATGAAACCGAGAATTACACGAGACTATGAAGAAGGACAAGGAGAAAAGGCTCATGTACATACACATCTCGTGAAAAATATATAAATATATATATATAAATTTTAATAAGAAATGGAGTGTATAGTAAAATAACGATGATTAGCAATACAGTAATAAATTACAGGGGAAAAAATACCACATACACCATATCTACAGGGTATATATTTACTTCCACTGTATATGATGCAGTGTTCTAGCAGCTAATCTAGCCGAAGAGTACTACTAATATGACATCAACTGAGCCGGTAGCCCCTGCGCTGCTGTCCCATACATCCACATTATCGTCAGTCAAAACACCTCCCACATATATGGGGATGTCTCGTAATCATTTGGAAAATCAGGTAACAGTGTCAGTGTCGAGGAGGAGCTCGTTTTTATGAGCCACCAAAGACGTCATAGTAGTAATTGTCATCAAGGCCATCTCGCGTGGGAACTTGGGGTGTTTCACCCGCGAAGGCTACATCGTCGAAGCGAACATTCAACAAACGAATTTTGAGACCGTAATCACTAACCAAGCTTATAAGTTTGTTTGTCTCCGCGGTTATAGGCTGCTGGTTGAGAAGCATAAGCAACCCATCAAGCCATTCGGATGCGACACTAGTGGATTGCGGACAGAAACTCAACAGCGCAGATTCACCTTGCGCTGATCTGCTCGAGGTTCGGCGATGGCCATTACTTTTGTGGATATCTCCAGTCTCGTGTACAGGCTGCGAGTATCCGTGCACGGTGATCTTAGTATAAGACACAGCATGGGGCATGTCCTTTGCAGGCGCCGTCGACTGATCTTTGGAGGAAGCAGAGACATTGGAGACCACTGAAGATACCAATGAAAGGTCGACTGAAGGTGTAAAGCGCAGTCAGCTTGAAATCAAGGACAGAACAGACCACGCACAACATCAAAGAAGCAAACTTACTCTTCTCGGGTAAAGTATCGAGCTCCGGGCGCCTCTCAAGAATGGCATTAAAATCACCAAAGTGTAAGAATCTCCTGTTGTGCGAAAGTTGTGCGTATTTCCATGAGTGTTGCTCGGTTCCCGCATCTGAACTAATAGGGCCCTCGTTGAGGAACCATGCACCGTGCAACAGGCAGCGGATTCTCTGTTCTTTAACGAATTGAAGTGCTTCGTGATACAATTCTTCGCGCATCTGCTGCAGGTGTTGGCCCCAGGCATCTTCATACGCGAGCTCCAACAACTCCATTTGCAGTTCGCGGAGCCGACCATACTCAAAGTTCGCTAGTTCTTCTTCCACTTCTTGCACATCCTTTGTCCTAGGAGCCCCACCAACGACAGACTCGATTAAGATCCGGATCAGCTCAACGATCTTTCCGTAGTCTTCGACTTCCGCTCCGGTAGCCTTCCACAGACGAAAGAAAGCATGTAACCCCGCTACATGCAATCTGGTCCAATGCAACAGCAGAGGCTCAAAAACCTTATCAAGGTTAGAGCGAGACTCTAGTAGAAGATAGCCCTTGGAATCATCCATCTCCGATTTGTCCACCTCAAAATGCTGGTACAATATCGAGGTGACAGACAGTGAGGCACGAGCAATGGGACATCGCTGCTGAGGAGGCTTCGTGGACTGCTCCAGGAGCATTTTTTGGAACTCATCTTGATGGTTTCTGACATAGTCTGCCAAATCCATCATTCCCAAGAACCCGGTATCCTCAAACTGCGTCGAAGGACTTTCCGTCTCGAAACCAAGACGTCTCCATTTCTCAGAACTATGTTTCTTAGACTGTCGCATCTCATCACCATTCTCGACTCCCTTCTCTTGACCCCGCTCATGTGAGCTAGCCAAATAGATCCCTTTCAAGGCTCTCCTGTGCTCCGGTCTCTCCAGATCCAGATATATCTCTCTCCATTTCCTCAGAAGAACTTTGGTAAGAGACTGGAATTCGATCAATGGGTGCACGTGATCCTGCAGGGCACTACCTTGCATGAGGGAGTAGACTGCTCTAATCACACCGAGATCTTGTAGCTTCTGAATAAACTTTGGCCATTCCGTATCTGCGTCGTTCGTGATAGAGTCGCGCATGAGCGAATTGATCAACTGAAGTGCATTTGCACAGAGGGCATGGTCTGCAGACGAAAGTCTATTGACAAGCATTTCCAAAAACTGCGGGTAAATGGCAATTGCGGGCTTCAATGCACGAAACCCAAAATTTCCATCTTGTGATAAGTGATTACCCGAGTAAGGATGTGACACTATGGATACTAATATAGACATTGCACCCCTTAGGATGTTGACCAATGGGTGTGTCACTATAAGTTCAACAACCTGGAAAGAGAAGACGGTACAATATATCAGTATGTTACTATATAAGGTGGTTTGCGGGAGTATGTTATAGAAGAGACGGAGAGCTTGTTCATGTTACCTACTCTTTCAACCATATCTTGATCTACTAGATCCCAGCCTTTGTCAACTTCTAGGATTCTGGCGAAGCTTGTGAGGCTATATGCCAAGGTGTTACCACTCGCATGTAGAGTCAAGTAGCGTAACCTAGTGAGTCCACCTTCTGCGATGAAATTATCGGCAAAGGAGGGATCCCCAATGCTCCCCTGAAGTTTGAAAACTGCCATTTTGCGCACCGCATCTTCGTCACTTCCTAGTCTCTCAACTAGCTCAGAAATGCTGGTTTCCATGGTGGGAAGTAGTAGTAATGTCGCCTGGTCGCAATAGAGCACGGGCAATTGTCAAAGCGGGCGTATGCCAATCAGTAGCCGTACCCGCTTTCTGACCAATTTCAATACAAGCTGTAGATTCCAAGTGGCATGGCACTGTAAGGACTTCAGTCAACGAGGCTCAAAGGAATCAGCACATTCTATCGGTTGAGAGAGAATAAGGAGGGTGGGTTGCCAAGAGATCCCAATAACGGAACTCTCCGCACTTGGACTAGATCGAAACCGGGCAAGTCGACCCATTTATGGACACCAGGATACGTAGCTGACCTGCGGCACAATCTAAACTTGACTACTTGTGTATCTGCGTATTGGGGGGCCGGGAGTGAAGGCCTGATTGCTCTCGTCTACTCCGTCAAGTGAATCAGGTGGCAATCAAGGAGCTTTGGCGAAATGATCATTATTACGTGACCTCGTTTTTGGCTGTAACCTGCAATCAGGGGAAGTTGTGTGTCAAGTAACAAAGGAGCGCCGAAAATAAAACTGTAATCTCCTTGCTGTCCTGAGTAGATGGATTAATATGCTGGATTTCATGCATTATGAAAGGTTTTTCCTCGGAAAACGTCGGCTATTTGACAGGAGGAACAGTCTCAAACTATTTAATGAATTCATTGGTTCGCTTATACGTGAGCGACTTGAAGTTTGAGGTCAACTATTCAACGCTTACAAATTCGTTTCATGCAGGATGATAGGGCAGGCATAGACTTTCAGGGGTAACAATTCGAGCATCGAACATATGTGCTGTGCAGAGTAGATTAAATAGCTATTTTGGACAGGGTCCGTTCTGCGGAGTACGATCTGATTTGTATTTACGCTTCCCTGCATGGATCTCTCAAACATTCTCTCATAGATATCTAGAGCTTACCGGGCACTTGACTTGGTATAAAGTAAATTGATGGATACCTTTGCTTCCACCGGCTCGGCCTTCGCGGCTAACTCTCGGCGAGCACTTACAAAAGTGTAAGGCATAACGGTATGTGGGATTCAAAGGTCGTTGAAAGAAAAAAATACGTCCCGGGAGAGGATCGAACTCTCAACCTCACGATTAACAGTCGTACGCGCTAACCTTTTCGAATATTAGTAATCTAGTTATGGGTTTGGAAACTGCTAGGGATAAATGCTTACCAATTGCGCCACCGAGACCTGCTATGAAAAACTTGCGCAACACAATGATATATACTATAGTCATGAGGATTCAAAATGAACTCGTGCTGGACATTTGGCCGTTCAGCCATGTCCTGTGGACGTGGTAGTAATACCATGTATTGTCTATCATTTGGTTAAATACTCATCTGTATCGCAAGGCTACTTCGTTAGGCAAATAAAGAACAGCGCAGAAGGACCCCTTCTAGTAAAGAATTGATTGCATTATGAGTCATTAATGACACAGCTAAGTAACTATCACTTCTCAGTTGACCATGTCAGAGATAATAATACTAGCCTAACGGCTAGTGTGCAGTACTCCGTGGAGTACAGCTGAGATGTATAGGACTGGTCTTGCTACCAATAGAACCAATAAAGTAGTATTATCATTAGACGGCCATTTCTAGTCCGCTTTAGGGCTACTCTTACTGGCATCGTTCAACTGTTGCTTACAAGGCTATTTATTTATTTGAGTGGGGAATAGCAACAATTGCCACGCACCTCGATCTCTCAGAACCACAAGGAATGTTTCACCTTTGATTAGAGATAGCTTTCAAGTCTCCTTGTTATTCCATTCATCGAACACCACACTCGCCCTTTACCTTGTGGTGGCTGCTTTCTCGCGTGCATTACAATAGCTCGCATGCGTTGATGTTTCAGTTTAAATGCTGTGGCTACTTTACATTCTTGCTTCATGACATTCTATTTCCTTCTGCCGACAAATCAGTCTGAATATTGTACAGCGACGACAGTTTATGATCCCATGCCACACCTCCCAATCGTTCAATGTGATGCCTCTATCACGACCCAAAACATAAGAAAGCGAAAAAGAGAAACAGTTTTGGCAGATATCTCCCCAGCTCTATCAAACAGGTCTGCAATGAATCAATGAAGCGGCCAGTATCGCTGAACGCAACAAGTGGAAGTGGCTAACTCATATCATCGATTATTCAGGCTTTCCTCATCGGCCATCCACGATACGAACCCGCAATTCTGCTTAGACAATACAGGATGTTTAGGCGACAGCACAGGAGTCTTCACTCGCCAGCGATGTCTCCACAGGAAACGACGAGTTTTCCAGCAGCCACCTGCTAACCATAAGCCACCGTTCACAGATGGTATTTCTCAAATGCCACTGTCGGATTCGTCGCAAAACACTTGCATTTCTGGAGCCTGCTCCCCGCCAGTATCTCCTAAAACAATATGCCCAATCCCATATCAGCAGCCGCAAACACTATGTGCATCTGCGTCCTGCCTCCGCCCATGTCATATCTGCCACCGGAGACCGACTACTCGAGAGTATGTTGACGCTTATGCAGATTGTGATCTCTGTGGTGGGAGAAGCTGCTACATCTGTTTACGACATTGTGACTCTGTAGATTGCAGCGGGCTTCTCAGGACCCCTACAAGCGGTCTTCAGGAAAGGCCTGATGACGACGAATGGCAGACAGAGCGGGCACGCAAGGTTTGCTCTGCTTGTGCAGTCGAAGGTGTCACCGAATCTGGAAAGGAAGTAATAAGATGCCTTGAATGTGTACGAGGCCTCCAGTCCCAATGGCAAGCTCTTCCTCTAGACTAGGAGAACTACATGTGGGCTTGGAACAGATCCTGCGTGGATAACGTGAGGCAGTGGACTGATATCGGTTGGCGGACTCATCGAGTTTCTTGAAAGACACCCTGTCCGAACCTTAATATGTAATCATAGAAGATGGAAATTTTGATACCCGACTTAGCAGACTAATAATGACTTATATGAGGCATCCCCACACTTCCAGGTACTTACAATGGCAACGATTGATGGGACAGATGTCCAGCCACGAAGCACACCAGAAGATTGGTTGCATGTAGCCATAGCCAACGCCGCACTTCATTGTGTTTCTACTAGTGAACGCCATATCTTTTCGATTATCGCAGCCAACGTATGATACGATCATCCAGTTGTATAGATATGCCGAGGCTAGTGCCCGCTTTCTTTCAATTTATAGATCGAATGAAACTCCAGTATATAACAAGGGTCGCTTTGGACAGTCACGAGAGAGAAAAAAAAGTTACCATCAACGGCCGAATCTCATCTGAGCCCCGGCGTAGTGCCATAGGCCCCTGAGGAACCCGTGGTACTCAACAGCCTCGTCGGAATTCGTTATCCCGCTATTCCTACCACCGGTGCAGTACATTTCAGTGAGGCGGATATGCCAAGGCGGGTATCCATCCAGCTTTAAAAACGAACCAAAAACAAGGAGAAGATCAGGCTCAGGCTTCACTAGGGAGACCTGGCGGCTGAGGCCCATTCTTGTGCTGCCTTGATTGACAGGTGCTGTCGGTTGGGTTGGCTGAGTGGTGATCTCACTGATTTCTGCATCCACCAATTCCATAGTGATGTCCTCTGGAGACAATTTACCACTTTGTGACATCTCCGCCAATGTCTTGGTCAAGTCAACAAACGTTTCCCTGCCGTCAGTGGCAGACAGGAGAAGCAATGTGAGAGAACTGGCATTGTGCCTATCGGACGGCGGAACATCTTGCTGTGTATTATAAATAGGGTGGTGTGGGGCAAACAGTTGCAGTGTAGGTTGCTGCGCCGGAGACCCATAGTAAGATGACAACTTGCTCGTGATAGCTTGGTGAAGGACAGGGATGCAAGACTTCAAAACACCTAGATAGATGCATGTATTATTAGCTCTAACCTTGCCTTCCTTTTTTGCTTTCTTATTGTATACGTAGGGGTCTTGGGAACTCGGAGACATCACCTACCGGTCTTCTCATAAACACTTAGGACAGGTATCCCAGAACTCACGCTCCAGGCTGAAAGCTCCGCCACTTCATCCATCAGAATTGCAAGGGCATCATCTTCTTTGCGCAGTGATAAGATGACGCTCAGATGTTCGGGTAAGCGCTTTAGGCCTTTCACATCCTTTCGTATTAACTCAGGCGTTCGGTGGTGGTAATAGACGATGGCGAAGATTCGATCCACAACAGCATAGTAGCTCAAAATGAGACGAGAAAAGATACCAAAGATGATGTGAACAACAGTGTATGTAAGGAGATGCAACTGTGACTTGATAAATGTCCGTATTGGAGTCTTCCGAGGAACCTTCTTGCGCCGCTGAGGTGGCTTGCGTGGAAGGTCAGACGGATCTGGCAGATATGGCCTTAGCAGATTCTCGCGCTCGGCAGCATTGAGCTTCGTTCCTCGAGAGCGAATATCTTCCCTAAATAGTTCTCTATCACGCTGCGTAACCATGTCTTGTTATCTGCGGGCGCTAGCGCAGAGTGACTCCCGGAAGTTTAGAAGATGGTTGAGGGTGTGTAATTCGTATGGGTATTATAAGTACGTAGTAAAGTACTAAGTTCGGATGTCCAGGCGGCCGTGGTTAGTGGTGGGTCTTGACCTCCGAAGGACCGGATGGGATGCGAGCTTGGGCAACCCCAAGTGCTCCGTATACATGATCGGTAAATAGTCTAGATGGCATGCGGACTACTCCGTAGTTGGACAATATATATCAAGTCAAGAATCTCTATGCACATGGTGTCTAGTTGGCGGTGCTAGTATTTAAATGTTAGCCTAGAGTGATATAAATATACAATTAGTCTTGTGATACCAGTACCAGTGGCCATCCTTAAACCAGTGACCACTGCACATAAGCAGAATTCATATAGATAGATACTTGATAAAATAGTGATACTAGCAAGTGCAGATAGATATATACTGATCTGCCGGGTCCCTTAGATCTATTTAATAGTTATATACCCTTTTACCTCTCTTCTTATCCCGAACACTGATAGTCAAAGCAGAGTGTTTGATGGTCCTACTGCACTCCAAGATACCACTACTAGGAATGGAAACTAACACGATCAACTCATCAAGGAAGAAACAGCAGATACAACGCTTCTACAATTTAATTTGGCAGTGAGGCGGCAATGCTTGTTCCGTCGACCAGTTGCCCTTGAAGCTGTGCAGTTATGTAATCCGCTAGGATAGAAAGCTATCTAATCCGTCCCGATAATGGACCACCTATCTAGTACTACTCCGTACCTGGCTGCCCCGTAATTCTCATTGCTCTCCTCTCCGCATTCACGGCGCAATCAAGAACATTGGTTGTTGACGCTCATGCTGAAGTCCATATTGCCCCAAAATCCAAGCTGATATCAATGCAGATTGATTCAGCTTCTAGTTATAAAAATGCCGGACGATGCGTCCACGATTACCCCACTCAACGCTGCATCTCGATCAGTGTTCCCAACAGGTCCCAGCTTCACTCTTGAAGACTTCTCCAGTCGCGACTTTATTGTCAAGGAATTTATCGAGGCGCTTTCGGACTCCGCCATTTCGAATCGTCGTTCTACAATCACTCCCACAACCGGAAACCAACCGTTTGACCCGAAGCCACTTATCAGGACTCTTGAGCACGCACAGCGGCGACTCGGTGAAATCTCCGGCGACCTAGAGATCAGAGAAAATGAACTGTCTGCAGCAGTTCGCAGGGCCGAGGCACAGCATTCCCAGAACCTCAATACACTGGGTAAAAAGCTAAAACAGACAATCGAGTCTTTCCAGCAGCTCGACACCTCGCTTAATGGTGCTGAGCTATCAGGTGTAGAGCTTTCCGGGGCTACCGGGAATATGGCAGTCGAGACTGGAAAGAAGTTGGAGGAATTAGACCGCCAAAGACGCCGGGCGCTTGATGCCCGCTTTCTGCTCGAGTGTTGGGATGGTGTGAGCAATAGAGGCGAGCTAACGCTTCTAGAGAACCTGAGACGTTCTGGAACTGGTGAAGCTAAAGTACGGTCGGCACAGATCGCGCGGCAACTGCTTCGAATAAGCCAGAGACTCGATACCGAGAGTTGGAACGATTCGAGTGGAAGGAATGCTGGGCTCACCGGGAACGGGGCCATATCTGCAGACGAGAACACAAATGGAAAAGGGAATGGGACCAGGCGGAACACTCGTGAGATCATTGAAAAGTTTTCCGAAACTTTGGAGAATGATTTGTTAAAGCAATTTGATGACTTCTACCGCAAGGCAAATTTTGAAGGCATGAAGGACTGCGCAACTGTACTTCAGGATTTCAACGGTGGTGCTAGCGTCATTGCTTTGTTCGTCAACCAACATCAGTTCTTCATCGATCGAAGTCAGCTAGTTACAGAAGAAGTAGGAGGTGATCTAGAGACTTGGGAGATGCTCGCAGACCCCGATGCCGAACCTCTGAAAGTGGAACCTAGCCTTCAGTCTTTGATCGACGAAGTCAAGGTCGTAGTGCAAGAGGAATCAGCCATTATCCGGCGGGCGTTTCCGTACTATGAGCAGGTCCTCGGGAAGTTCTTGCAACGCGTGTTTCAACAGTCTATTCAACAGAGATTAGAAATGGTCTTGGAAAAAGCAAACAGCGTCTCATCACTAGCATTTTTACGATCTTTACAGAGCTCTCGAAGTTACATCAGTGCTCTTGTTGATGATCTGAAAAGCCATGGGCTGACTGAACACCCGGATCCAATCTCTTCACAAACGGCTTTGGTCCTTGACCAGCAGCTGGAAGATTTGTTCGTACCTTATTTTGTTGGGTCGTCATATATAGAGAGGGAGAGAAGGACACTGGAAGAACTCTATACGTCCTTGCTGTTCAAGTTCACTACCTTCCATGCGCGCAGGAAAAAGGCGGCAACGACTTTCATGGCTTCCCTTTCCAAGTCCGGTACTGAAATGCTATCTTCGGCTCGTGACGCGTATTTGGGTCGCCTGGAGTCTTCGGAATTTCCTCCGACCCAAAGAAGAATGCTACTCCAAGTGGCAGGGTTGAGAGAGTCTAGCGATCTTACAAAGCCTACTGATATCAAACTGACTGAGGAAGACGGCATCCCGAGCATATCTTCTGCAAAGAGGATGCTTAAGTGGCTTGCCGAAGCAGTTGGAAGAGGCTTAGAGCTTAGCGTGAATAGTGAAACCCCAAAGGATATGCTTGCACTGTTAACTCTCCTCCTTTCAGTAATGGGAGAAGGGTTCATTGAAGTGTCTCTAGATGCAGCACTGGAAGCAGCAACATCGCAAGAGTCCGGAAGAGCAGAGCCAGATTTTGCATATCTACCAGCTATTCGAAATGCTATTGGTATTGCGAACTTGATGGTTATGTGCATAAATACTTTGCTCATTCCTCTTGCGGCGGGTAGTATCACTATTCGACGGGAGATGGAGAAGAAGACAAATCTCATCACTATGCGCATAGAAGAGAAAATCAACGTACTCGAGCAGAAGGTCATTGACAATACACTAACATGGACTGGAAAACTCTTGTCTGGCCAAAAGAAAAATGATTTCCGACCCAAGGAGGGTGATAGTACGGCTTGGTTGGAAAAGCTACAAACACCTGTGAGTCATGATGATGAAGCCTACTCTCCACCCCTGGCAGATTATACTAATCTATCTTAGACCTGTGCTGCAATCTGCACATTCTTGACTCGTGTGCATAACGTGGTGAAGACATCCTTGCCGCCCAGTGGCTCCAATATTCGCCAGCTGCTGACCGAAGTCGCTATTGGAACGCGTACTCTCCTGCTAGATCACTTCAAGCGGTTCGTTGTCAATGGGCCTGGTGGACTTATGGTTACCAAGGATATGACGCAATATACGAATCTCCTCAAGTCCTGGGACATCGAGGAACAGGTCAAAGGATCAAGCGGTACGCTGGACGTGCTGCTGGAAGTGGGTAACCTCTTTGTTATCGGCTCTGAAGCTTTGCGCGAAAGAATTCGTGGTGGTACTGGGAGTGGTACTGGTGGAAGCGCTGGGAATAACACTGGAACTAGCCCTGGGCGAAGCCTCGGGGGTTCTGGCCAGACGGAAACAGGCCTTAGCGTACAGGAGGTCAGGGCCTATGTTTCCCGCAGAGAAGATTCCAATACAGCTGCGTTGCAGAGTGTTCTTAATATTTTGTGATAGGGAACAGTGTGGTTATAGCCCTTGACTATAACTAATGAAGACTTGACCGTTTCGATTCCGTACAGAGTATAGACTCTTGTTTGATACCTTCAACCAAGGCAAATTCACCAAGTATCAAGTGCTAATCTTCTTTTCTCTCTGTTTTCCCCTCTCTCTTATTCTTCTCCTTTTCATTTCTTTTCATTTCTTTCTTTTCCCCCCTCGTCTCCTTTTCTTTGTCTCCTTTGCTCGAAAAGGAAAAGGGGCGGACATGCCGGGCGACTTTACCCCTTAACTAGTCTGAAAACTAGCCAGCTAGTGGCAGGATTGACTATCTAGTTGATGAATAACATAATGCAATGAGAGAGAGAGCTATTCTAACTTGGTAAACTCAATGGCGTCGGCTTATCTCTAACCGACTGAATTTATCATTGTAGTTATCTTCCGCCCGATTGACTCCCTTGGTGATTAATTGAGAAGTCTGAGCTCTGCTTCCCCGTACCTAGACATGTAATTCGGTACAGGTTTCTCCACACTACAGTATACTTGTGTCCCCGTGCTACTGCGGTATAATGATGCCCGCATACAATCATTTCGTCCATGAGACCCACATGGTGATTAGCAAAAGCTAGATATCTAGTCCATGTAACCGAAGTAGCCCTGTAGATAGTGTTACCCATTAACAGGGTAAGCCCCTTGATCTGCTAAGAATTCCTACTAATTCCAGCGCTATTTTGATACTATTGGAGACAAGTTACACTTCTAGAATCCTTGGTAGATAATCCGTACTTGTGCGGAGTAGCAGGTCCCATCCGGTATTACTCTTCGCTCGAAGTTTTGAAAACAATAGCACCGCGTTTTATCAGTTTATTCCCTCTACAGAGACCTTGTTGTGCAAACATGGACATCTTTCCGTTCCAGAAATACCAGCTCACTTATATTGATTGCAACCCTTCGCTCGAGCTGATGGGCGACGTTCGTGATCAGAAAATTTGACTAGTAGAGCGCTAGTATGCGCTCATGTATAGGGTCTGCGTTCTAATATTATTGCTTTTTTAAACTTATTTCTCTGCACGGCATAAGCTGCAATGACTCGGCGATGCCCTCACTATTGAGACTAGCTTTTGCGAGCTTAACTTCTTCGATTCGCTTGATGAATGCATTCAAGCCTAACCAACACTAGTTGCCCAGAGAGGCTAGTTTAGAACTCTAACGGAACCTTGGAGCACATGTGTTCCTTCACTCTATCCCGTAGAGGTTTGGATAGGAAATGATACTCTTTCTAAGCCCTGTGCAACTCACAAAACGCCTCCTATACCACTAAGCCTGTCTTGTCGACATTTGGCAATTTCAGACGCCAGAGATCAGTCAGCATTAGACAATAGAGGCACAGCAACGCCTCCTTCGGAGTACAATATTATTTCTCACTTGTTCCATGTACTAGTAATTCTGCGTCGACATGGATGACTTTCCTGGCGATGCCTTGCGGTGGTTCAGTGAGGAGCATGACCTTGATCTTGCCCTCGATAAGGATATCACCCATACTGTCAACTCACCGATGAAGATGCCACACCGAAAACTGAAAAGACCTTGCATCAGGAGGACATTGTCATTGAATTCTGCCACTTTCATTCGACAACCATCATTCACTGCTTCGCACAAGAACCACCGCCATTTTAGCCAATCTCCCGTCACGTCCTCCTTCTTAACCAATCTTCTCATTCGAGAATCGAAATCTCGTCCGCTATCGAGCCAAGCACAAGGCCATCATGCTTCTCAATCATCCTTTTGCAGCATTGATCCGGGTGCTCAACATTACCAGGACCCAGAAGCGCGCCTCAAATTGCGACTCTACCTAGCATCCCCGCATAATTTTGACGAAGCCATTGAATTCGGCTTCCCGACTCCGGCTGATGGCACAACATCAGTGCGTCCCAGTTTACCGAAGCAGAGCTTAAAGCCACAAAATAATAGGAGAAAGCTATATACAGCTGTGGCTCAGAATGCAGACCTCTGCACGGAGACCGATGGTACTATATCTGACGCCGTACAGCCGTCCCAGCTCTTGGGACCTCCCATCTCAAACAAGTCTATCTCGCTGAGTGATACGCAACAATTTTGTGCTGTCGATAGGGGAAGTGGCAAGCGGCTTGATCCAAACAATCGCGAAATGACACTAAAGATGACGTTGACACGGCCTGATCTTCGAACAAGCTACTGGGAAGATGTTCCATCAGGTACCCCGATGTCTATCGAGTCACATTCAGCAGAAGGAAACCCACATATTTGCAATGCTGATGAAAACATCCGACACAAAATGAGAACTGTATGGTGCAAGCTTAGGGTATGGAAATAAGACTGGAACTGCGGATATAATATATTTTATCATTGACTATGTTATATCGTTACCTTTTTACGTCTTAAGTATTGTAGTCTTCCCCCTTACTGTGCTCTATGAAATCTTGTCCTCCGTCCAATTTGCGTGCTGAGCTACTGCTGCCTTCTTTTGAGAGTACCACTAGCATTAGTGTATGGTAATCCTCTCAGTTATTCAGTCTTAAGGCTTTAGACATTGTTTTCTTTGGACTTTGCTCGGGTTACAATATTGTAGGCTACTTCTCGTCTACATCGAAAAGCATCACTAAGACACAGTCACTGTTATGCCAGGCCGCCAATTTCATTCTCCAGATTGGTTCTCATCTCTCTTGTACCAGTACATTCCGTCTTGTTATGATACACTGTACCCTTGCTTGTATGAGACGAGGGAGAATTATTTAGCACCCTAACATAGTATTGGTGCCAGGCTAATAGTACATTAGTTTATAGGCCATGAAAGCGGTTTAGTAACTTACTATAAGCACAACGCCATACCTAAAGGACTAAAAAGCAATATCTTATTCAACGTAATACCTTCGCGGTTTAACTTCCGAGATTGGGCCACTAGGGGTTGTCTCGCTGTATGCAAATTGGGCTCCTATCGCATTAAATTCTTTCCATAAGAAAACCCTGGATAGCTAATTTTTGGTCTTCAAATATGATCGGAATGTGGCAGTGAACTGAACCCTGATTATATTGGTACACTCGAAGATTATCTCTGCGATGACAACCCTTGCTATACCCTGCTCAAGAATACAGTTGTCGGAACTCTGACCGGTCCTACAAAAGGAGAAGCATCACTAGAAGCTTAGACATCATGATGTCTATATTAATTCAATTACTTTCAAGAAAGGGTACCTAGATACCGTGACATTAGGGAGGCCACTGGATAGCTCAAGTCAATTCATACTGTATTATAGTGTGATTAAACTGCAACGGCAAATGGTCGTCAATGTCGCATGGTTCCAGGAAATGAACCAACGTTTTCAAAGACCCCGGATCCGGCCAACTCTGGGTCAGGGTTCATCTACTCCATACGTCAAGCGCCCGGCTGAAACCGAGGTCTAGACGTGCTTCGATAAGCATGCTTCCCACGTGACCGTGGAGCTTCCCTGCGGCCACGCAGCTGCAGTGATCATTGAGACATTCTTCCCTACTTGTTCATCAACCCGAACGTCCTTTACTTCTGACTACCTATTCACATCACAAAGGACACATCATATAATCAACTTGCAAAATCCGTGTTCTCGGCAGGGTCTCTAATTCAAAGCAATTATCCGGCCGCATTTGCCGGTTATAAGCTCTTCCTCCCTTCAAATGTGTCGTACTTTACGGCCATGATCTTCCGATGGCTCCTGCTGGTGAGCTGCCTTTTGGTGGCTCTCATTCCCCAGCAAAGCTCTGCGAAGAAATCCGATCAACCGAAGGTCACGGCAACCAAGCTTGAACACGAACCCTTTTCTCTCTTCTATTTTGAGGACTCGGAAACTGTTCTTATGAGCTTGAAAAATGGAGAATTCAAACAGTCTTTCGACGGTGGAGAGGAATGGGAAGACGTGGCTAGCAGCGAGGATGGTAGAGTGACACAACCGGTTGTTTTCATACGACAGCACCCATTCGACAAGAATAAGGCCTATGCTCTCGGTGTTGACGGACATCACTTGGTCACCACAGATCAGGCCAAGACGTGGAGATCGTTCGATATAGGCGACCAGCCGGCCTTACAGCACCCGCCCCTTGTTTTTCATGGATGGGACTCGAGTAAAGTCATATATCAAAGCGAAGAGTGTGCCGGGTTCTTCTGCATTGTGAGGTCGTACTACACAACTGATGATTTCAAGACCGTTAGGCTGTTGCGGGAGAGTGCGGCGGGGTGCTCCTGGGCAGTTGGGCACCCTCACTTCGCCGAAGATATGGATTTGAACCAAGAGTTGAAGGACAGATCACTGTGTGTCGTCCCTGGGTTGAAGGTGCCCTTTGGACACGCCAACCGCTTGGTATACTCGGATGATTACTTCGTTAGTAACATCGAAGGCACAGAGGTGAACTTACATGAGGGCCGGCCTGTCTCCGGCGTCATTAGCACAGCCGCTGTCAAGAAGTTCATCGTGGCCGCCGTCAAATCCAAAGGAACAGAAGAGCTTGCCTTGTTTGTGACAACGGATACGAATACCTGGCATCGAGCCGAATTCGATGGACATCGGATAGAGCAGGACGCGTATACAATGTTGGAGAGCACCAACTATAGCCTGCAGGTAGACGTCCTGACTAGCCCATCTAGCAACATGGGTGTCCTATTCACTTCCAATTCGAACGGCACATTCTTCAGCCGTAATATTGAACACACCAATCGCGATATGGAAGGGACTGTCGATTTCGAGAAGATTGCTGGCATTCAAGGCATAGTTATGGTCAATACGGTGAAAAACCCGAAAGAGGTTAAGTCCGGGCAAGCGAAAAAGGTCATCAGTAGAATAAGTTTCGATGATGGGCGAAGTTTCCAGCCTCTCAAGGTTGGTGACAAGAATCTACATTTACATTCCGTGACTACGTTCGCCAATATCGGCCGGGTATTCTCAAGTCCAGCACCAGGATTAGTCATGGGAATCGGCAATACAGGTGATCACCTTCAAAAATACAGCGATGGCGATCTTTATATTTCAGACGATGCTGGTGTGACTTGGCGTCATGCCCTTGACGGGCCGCATAAGTACGAATTTGGCGACCAAGGAGCTGTGGTTATGGCAATCAGCGACAAGGGCAAATCCAACAAGATCAGCTTTTCTCTTGACCATGGCAAAGAATGGGGATCAGTGGAGATCGAACATAAGATATATCCTACTATGGTCACAACGACACCGGACTCCACGAGTCTAAGATTTTTACTAGTCGGCAAGCAAAACGAGGAAAGCGGATTCATTGTCTATTCCATCGACTTCAAGGGATTGCATGAGCGGAAATGCGAAGAAGATGACTTTGAGAAGTGGCCAGCTAGACTAGACGAAAACGGCGAGCCAGACTGCTTGATGGGTCATAAACAATTCTTCCGCCGCAGAAAGGCGAATGCTGACTGCTTCGTGGATGAGGAGTTCAAAGATCCTCAGCCGATTATGGAGCCATGCAAATGTACGGCAGAAGACTTTGAATGTGAATTCAAAGGCAGCGAGGATGGGAAGAGTTGCATCCCGGCCCTACTGCCGGTGCCTCCAGAAGGGTGCAAGAACCCCGATGATACCTTCATGGGACCGTCTGGTTGGAGACTGATACCAGGTGACACTTGCATCCGTGATGGCGGTAAGAATCTGGATCACGATGTTGAGTGGCGTTGCAAGGATGCAGGCAATGTACCCACATCTGGCGAAATCAGCGTGGAAAAACAATACTTTGATGCAAGGCAATTCAGCGCCTATTATTACCTAGAACGTCAGTCAAGCAGTTCTGGCAATGACGAGACGATTGTTATGCTCACCAGTGAACGTGCGCTCTATGTATCACATGATCATGGGAAGACATGGAAGCAGCCACTGAAAGGAGAAGCTATCAACAGAATCGTTCCTCACCCGTACAACAGTGATGGTGCTTTTCTCTTGACGGACGGTGCGGAGGGCTTTTGGACTGTTGATCGTGGCCAGTCTTTCAAGCCTTTCGATGCACCAGCGCCTCCAACTGAAGAACGCCTTCCAACCCTCACGTTCCATCCCCAATATCAAGACTGGCTGATCTGGACAGGGGCTGTTGATTGCGGATCTGGTGATTGTCACTCCAACGCCTACATCAGTAAAAACCGCGGGGACAATTGGGAGCTGCTGCAACGCTATGTTCAAAAGTGTGAATTCGAAAGCAGGGAAGGCCGCAAAGATAGCACGAACCTCATATTCTGCGAGCAATTCGAGAATGAGAACAGAAACAACCGACTACAACTGGTATCCAGTAAGAACTGGTTTTCAGACTCGACCGTCCATTTCAGAGATGTCATCAACTATGCCACCATGTCCGAGTTCATTGTTGTGGCGTCTCGAGATACAGAAAAGCCAGACTCTTTGGTCGCGAGCAGCAGTGTCGATGGTGAGACATTTGCGGAGGCAAAATTTCCTCCAAATGTCAACGTCCCTGTCCAAACGGCATATACTGTGCTTGAGAGTTCTACTCACGCCGTTTTTCTGCATGTTACAGTAAGTAACTCGGAGGGGGCCGAGTACGGATCGATTATCAAGAGTAATAGCAACGGAACTTCCTATGTGCTCAGCCTTGGTGCAGTGAATCGAAATTTTCGGGGTTATGTCGACTTTGAGAAGATGCAAGGTATAGAAGGCGTGGCAGTTGCAAACGTTGTCAGTAACGTGAATAAGCTGTCAGATGGGGAGCCGAAAAAGTTAAGGACAATGATTACGCACAATGATGGAGGGCAATGGACCTTGCTTTCTCCCCCAAATAAGGATGCAGAGGGCAAGGACTTTGGGTGTTCTGTGGAAGGAGAAGGCGTTCCTGGCTGTTCGCTCCACCTTCACGGCTATACAGAACGTAGGGATGAGCGGGACACGTTTTCGTCCAGTTCAGCAATCGGCTTGATGCTCGGAGTCGGCAACGTTGGTGACCACCTCGGTGGCGAAGACGAAGCCGATACGTTCATAACCCGGGATGCTGGCTTCACATGGAAGTCGGTCAAGAAGGGCAGGTACATCTGGGAGTTTGGTGATGCCGGCTCCTTGATTGTGATCGTGCCTGAGTCGAAGCCGACCAAAACTCTTTACTACAGCCTTGACGAGGGAGACACGTGGTTAGACTTTGTCTTCTCGGACGTGGAGATGCAGATTGATGATATCTCCACCGTACCGTCCGACACGTCCAAGAGCTTTCTTCTCTGGGGCAAAGAATTGAAATCGGATTACCAAGATAAGCTCGCGACAGTAAGTGTTGACTTCAGTGGGCTCCGTTCCTCCTCGTGTAAATTGGACGAAAATAGTGCCGAGAGCCATGATTATTACCTCTGGGAACCGAAGCATCCGTTCCAAAGTGATAATTGCCTGTTTGGTCATGTTGAGCAATATCATCGGAAGAAACCGTCAGCCCAATGTTGGAACGACTGGCGTGAACCTCATGTTCACAGTATCGGAGAGAACTGCCCCTGTACAAGGGCTGACTTTGAATGGTAAGTATTCCCCGTCAACTGCCCTCCCTTAACTTTCATTAAGCGCTACTTTATACTTGTAAATGGTGCAATTACTGATCCAGATGCAGTGACTACAACTACGAGCCTCAGAGTGATGGCAGCTGTGCCCTTGTTCAAGGACTCGCTCCTCCTGATGCCATGGCTGTATGCAGAGAAGACCCTGAAGCATATCAATATTGGGAACCCTCAGGATATCGGCGTCTCCCCCAATCAACGTGTCAGGGTGGACGGGAAATGGATCATATTGTTTCCAAGCCTTGCCCAAACAGAGAGGAAGAGTATAAGAAGAAGCATGGGATAAGCGGCGCAGGTCTCTTCTTCGCGATCGTCATCCCTATTGCTGTAGCAAGCGCTGTCGGTTACTATGGCTATACTAGGTGGGACGGCAAGTTTGGCCAAATTCGGCTTGGAGAGAATGTTGGTACCTCCCAGGGTCTGCTTTCGCGAGATTCTCTGCTCATCACCATCCCGGTTACCATAATTGCGGGTGCGGTGGCCGTCATAAAGGCTCTCCCACTGTTAGCTACAAGTCTCTGGCGGAGCGCGAGCGGATATGTGCGCCTAGGACGCAACCGGGGCTACTCCAGGCCTTATGCGTCTCGCGGATCATTTGCCGCCAGGCGCGGCGACTACACTGGTGTTGTTGATGACGAGGATGAGCTTCTTGGTGTGGAAGATCTCGAAGCGGATGAAGAGGAAGAGCTGTAATACTATGGCTCGTCCTGGCACCTGTCCGTCCACTGTGTCGGGCCCATGAGGTTATGTTTTATTATGAGAACGTCATGTATTGAAATGTGTCTCTATGTATGCGTCTTTTGCGTCCCACATCTTTCTTTTCTTTATTTAAATCGCCTATATAATTTGCTTGCCATAGAGGTGAAGCAGAAACAGTGCTAATGGGTATCTTGCAATATTCTGGAATTTACGAAAATATGCCAGTTCCGGGAACAACCCAAGCAACTCGAACCATTACATTTTGAAGTCGTAGTAGTAACAAGATGACCTAAGGAGACAGGTATTATCTCCTGGAGCCGGGCAGGAAGTTCGAAGGATTGCATGGCATGGTACAAATTGAGACACTGACCCCGCAGAGAATTTAGTCTCTTAACTGAACTTTGCTCCCCTTCATGAAAGAGGCGCTGAATGACGACGAATCTTCAATAAGACGCTGGTAATCATGCATGTGATGCAAGCCCGAACAGCCCCCTGAATCCATATGAGCGAGCATATTATATTACCTTGTACTACGCGTACATTCACCTCGAAAGGGAAGCATCGTTTATTCTGGATGCTTAACCACAACAAAAAGAGAGCGTAGCTCAGCATCATGACCATCATCTCCCCCTAGAATCAGCCCCCCTGAGCAAGCCAACCACCTACCAACACCCTCCCCCGCGGTGAATCCCAACGAACACACCGAACACGACAGCGCCAACATCAAAATAACAAACAAGACACTGAAAAAAAGAATCGCCCACCCACTTACATATGCCAATCACCCTGCTTTACTCCACAATGGCAACCGACTGGTGATCAAGCAGATCAAGACTAGTGACATGGTTTAATGATCAATGAGTGAAATCACTCGGGCCGAACGAGCTCGGTAGGAGCTGGATGCGAACAAGTCATCAGTCAGCCACTGATTCAGAACAGAATGGTTGGAAGGATTGGCTCAATATATTACCTCTCCCATTGTAGTAAGAGTATAGTTCCCCTCACCATCATACATAAAGATAGGGAACTCTGGGGTGGTAAATTCACTCATACTGAGATACACAAATCATTGTTGTTAGCCAGGTACGTGCGTGGTTTGTTGTCGCATTATTGGGATGAGGGAATTATAGAAATCTCCGGGTAGCCAATCAATCATTAATGGATGGATTGAGTGGTCGCTTGTCTTCTTTTTTGCAAGCTATTCGCGGGTACAGCTTAAAAATCGAAAAACCAGGGCCAGGGGGTAGAGAACGATACGTACAACTGTCTACACATGCCGCATGGTGAAGCGGGAGGTTTGATGTCAGTCGCAACGGCAATGGCCTTGAAGTTGCGATGCCCGGCCACCTGCAAAGCAGTCCGACGAGTAAGCAAATGCATGAGTGATTTTCTTCAGTTGATTTCTGACATGTGCAAGGTACAGCAAGTACTAGACCCAGAGATTAAAAGAAAAAGAGGTGTAGAGTTGATAGCTTACAATCGCACTTCCAAAAGCTACTCGCTCCGCACAAGTTCCAACAGGATAAGAGGCATTTTCAACATTGGCGCCCTGGACGAATTCGCCCGACTCGGTCAAAATGCATGCGCCAACACGGAACTTTGAGTAGGGGCCTGTTGGTGTTATTGATGTCGCATTGGTTAATTCTGAAGATACGGCGGCTTTTTCTCCAGTGGACTGGCTGACTTACAGTATGCGGTGTCCTTGGCGGCGATGGCCTTGGTGGAGAGCGTCTCGAGCTCTTGGGCAGACAGGTGGTCGGCGGCGTGTACCATGATTTTTCCTTTGTCTAGCTGGATGGCTGGATGGGTCTATATCCAAGGATGAAAGTCCAACGAAGTTGACAGGTAGCGAGCGGGTCGATAGATATACGGATGGATGTAGTAGGAGTTGTTACTGCGCGGGGAAGAGGTCATCTGGACCGGAAAAAATGCCCGTATTTGTTGTTATTGTTGTTGTTCATGTTTCCACAACCCCTCTCTTATCGCGAGGATTGACTTGTCTCAGTGTGACTCACGATAATGATGATAACACGGATAACCAAAATTATCTATATTAAATCTTCAAAATTTATCTAATCTAGGTGCTTTTCTGTAACCTCGGCTGCCAGTGTTTCAGGGTTGTATCGACTCCCACCCGATATTATCCATGATGTCATCACTCAAGAAATCGTCAAATGCCTTTTCGGGATCCCCGCACACACCTCTATATCAACAAAAAATAAAGCGAAATTCAACAAACTGAAGATAGATAAGATTCATAGACACGAAATAATAATGAACAGCAAAAAAAATTGTAAACAGATCAACACTCTTTTCCTTTGCACCAATACCAGATTGATGGTCTCAAAAGAAGATGTTGGAGTCTAACTCGGAACATGACTGTAGGTATCATACGAAAGCGCCTCAACCGGAAACTTTATAGACAAGAAGCATCCGACGAATGTCGGGGGAAAGGAAAAGGGAACCGGGATGTGACAGAGTTAAAGAAAGGGTGATAGAGATGAAAGAGAAAAAGAGAAAACGAGGTAAGAGGAAGCTGAAAATCAGGCAAAATGATTCCGTAGTCCCTCATAGACGGTGAAGATGAAGGCGGAGCTGGGGGCTGATCGAGCGCAGGTGATGCCACAGCCTCGGTACAGAGCTCTTAGTCCTTGCTGCCTCCACAGGGCTTTGGCAACTCCCCAAAATGTCTGCCGTTCGCCGTTGTATGCTCCTCGCGTAACATCCTCTGTTTGCATGCGCGATTTGATCGTATCGGCAGGGTAGAAAAGGAAATTGTAGCTGACGCCTGCCGCGGCACCTGCAATCATCTTCTGGTAGATAGGAATGGAATCAGATGATGTTCCATCTTCCTTGAGCTCTGCAGATGGGGCACGGTATGCGCGGAACAGTGCAGATACCCCCTCATAGCCACCGAACCATGCAGCACCGCCACCAGTCTCACGAATCAGTGTTCCCAACTGTCCGCGCCAAAAGCCTAGGAGACCATCTTGACGGAAGACAGTGGCTATCAGAGTCAATGGACCGGGAGCGTTTCCGCCAGACGCCGTAAGGGGAACTTGCATCTTGCACTTGATGAGCTCAACGGGGGTAAGGGCAAGGGAAGTGATAGACCCAGACGCGGCGCCGCTGAAGACCAGTGCCGAGAAAGGGAGATCATCAGCAGGAGAGTAGACAGTGGCCTTCAATATATCTTGAATCAAACGGTAGCTAAAGAACAAGCAGCTATTCTCAATGGCAGCACCTGCCATGGGAGCGCTAATGCCCCGGTAGAGCCCGCGTAGGCCATCTGCTTGGAAAGATTGACGAAAACAATCCAAGGGACCTTTGTATCTGAGAGGAAGATGATCCGGTTGAGATTGGAGCCGAACTTTGACTGTATCAAAAGGGTACTCGATCACTTTGCCTGCCATTCCTGCAGCCTAGTGTGGTCAAATGTCAGTCAAGTCCACGACCACATGGTTGGGCACAATGGTTATAACTTACCGACCCGAACACGATATCTTTGAAGGCCTCAAGGCCCTGGTTGGGCGGGAGTGTAGGCAGCTCCATTGAAATATCATCATTGATTGCTATCGCATGTTCGGCGGCCGCCATCAGGGAAAGGTGGATGAGCAGTTGAGCTCGGGTTACACGACAGGACTTTGACGGGGGTATGCAAGGAAAGAGACAGTGGGGGGAGAAAGGATAGGCAAGTCTTATCGAGAGAGCATTGTAATTTCGCGAGCTGTTCGAGGAAGAGAACGGTCTAACGAGTATTTAAAGGCTTTCAGGGAGATGGGGCGGTGTGGTGGTGACTCGACGAGGGGTTTTGCTTGGAGGTGTGCCCGAACCACGCGCGATAAATTAAGAGAGAGCGAACATCGCTTGCCAGTAAAACGGAACACGAGCCCAAAGGCCAAGGGGGCAGGGGAAATCGGGATATGAGCGATGGGTGGGGTGGGTAGACTTCGCGGCGGTTGGCTGATTGCGGCGAATGCTGCAACTAGTCGAGTGTGATCCGTCAGACTTCTCGCCGACAAATCCCTCAATTCCATACCAGACGGGGCTCGGCGCACCACTTCTGCCGAGATCCGGTTATCTGATCGGTCTAAGATAACTTTTTCCTCAAAACTCGGAGGCCCCGAAAAAAAAAAGAGGGCAGCGGAGAGCTAAGAGAATTCCATCATCATCCCGTCTGGAATCTCTCTTTTCTTTTCTCTCTTCTTTCACATCCCAACACCACCCCCCAAACTGGTCGATCGGCTCGTTTGGCTCTGCCTACCCCCGGTCCGCATGTCTTCCGCGCCTTCAGCTGCTGCCCCCATCAAGGGCATGCGGAAAAATGGTATGAAATTAGCTACCCCACTTTTTTTTCCCTGGCCTTCGAAAATAACTGTTGCTAATGCTTTTCGCTTCTCGGACCCGCAGGAAAAAACTGGCATGACACCAAGAAGCCGTTCCGCCCTACTGCGGGCATGACCTCCTACGCTAAGCGACTCGAAGCACGCAAGCACCATGAAGCCGTGAAGGAACACGAGAAGGAGTTGAAGGAAGAAAAGGAAGCAGAAAGACAGGTAGGATTCGACCTGTGACATATCTCGGGGAAGATCATGTTAATCTTGCTGACAATTACCTAGGCGCATATTCAAAGAATCAAGGATCGTCGAGCCGCTAAGGAGGAAAAGGAACGCTACGAGAAGATGGCAGAGAAAATGCACCGCAAGCGAGTCGAGCGCCTGAAGCGCCGCGAAAAGCGCAACAAGTTGCTGAATTCTTGATTGCAGTCAGCTGTGCTCCTTCATCTCTTTCATTATTCTCCCATCTTCTTTCCTCTCCCACCTTTTCGCCTCTGCTGTTGTTAACTAACCCGTCTACATCTCGTTCGAGTGGTGGCTGATGTACCCCCACGCCGGAAACTCTTCGTATCATTCACCTTCACACCATGTTTCCTTTCTTACCGGGTTTGGGAATTATTGCCGATTGATGGCTACTGTTTCATGACAAGTGGAGTTCGCTGGCGACCGTGGAGTTAGAAATCAATTTCCCAGAATAGTATATACCACGTTGAATATACCGGACTATCGACTCGGTTTCTGACCTATCCATCATAACACACCATAATAGTAGCTCTAGAGAAAAGCCAGGCAATACACATTAAAGGAGAAATTACAGGTTTGTTCTTTTCTTAGAGACATTATGCTCGGATGTACTGCATACTCGAATCACAGTATATATATTCCGAGGCCTGCTGATCCTTTGCGGGATCAGGGGCCGATGCCTTCGATCGGCCAGCGCATGGATCAGCGCTTGGCATCACGTTCAACCACGTTGTGTTTCACTTCTGCTAGCGAGTCGTACGACCGATAGAAAACATCTTCAGAAACCGACCGTCCAGTTGACCAACGCGTTGAGCAGCGTTATCGGGTCAGGGCGTGCAAGGAAAGTGGAGAGGGTTCACCGACCTGGATCCTTCCTGCCCGCCATGGTTTCCCAACCGTCCAAACAGCTGTCCGCTCCTTACCCACCGGCCCATGTGGCTCTGGAGCCGCCGGAAGCCAGAAACCAGCACCACCCAGCTTGCAGCCCTCCAGTGCCACCAGCGACCATAGCGGAAGTCTCCAACTCGGCCAGAATCATCATGGTCGCGAAGTGTCTCAACCTCCCGGTCTTACTGGAGAAAAGCATCACCACCATCATCTGACCTTCGACACTACCCGCTCAGATCGCGCGAAGTCTAAATCCCGTTCGAAGCACAAGCACAAGCACAGTAAATCCGGCGACTTTCGGTTTCACCGAAGAATGAACAACCTCGCATCGTCCGCTGGTTCCAGAGGTCTCTTGCCAACATGGTCCGGTAGTAAGGAAAAGGACAATGATGCCGACGATGGCTTGCTTAGACCCATAACGCAGGAGACAACCTGGTCGCGCTGGAGCTCGGATTCCACCGCAGCATTGGGTAGTGGGAGCCGAAAGGGCAGTTTGCTTGATGTCATAGACCCGAGCAACAAGCTTGGTCCCATTAGGCGTCAAGAGATACGGTCGATGGAAGACCTGGAGCAGGTGAAGAGTAAACGAAAACAAGGGGAGGAGTAAGTCGACTGTTGTCTGTTCACATCTGGGATGATTTTGACTGGTTTGATGACAGGTATTTACGGTCTGCCCTGTCAATGATCGGGACCCTTGCAACGGATATCACCCGTAGACTGGATTATACGTACTACAACCTCCTGGAGAAGCTTGCCGCATTGAATTCTACCATCGCGTCATTCCAGGAGCTTTCTAGTTCTACCTCTGCCCTTTTTGACGACTTCCAGCGGGAGACATCGGGCTTGGACAAGGAAATCCGGAAACAAATGGGGGAATTAAAAGAGTTTCAGCCCCAATTAGAGAGGATTAAGACGTTGGAAGGTCGCATGAAGACGGGGCGACAGAGGGCCGAGGGACTTAACAATCGGCTCGCGGCAATGCGCCATGAAATTGATCGCTGGGATAAGAAAGAACTAGAATGGCAGTCACGAGTTAATCGCCGCCTTCGGGTCTTTTGGACTGTGGTGGTAGCTGGTATGCTTGCAGTTCTCCTCGCCATTGCGATTCAAAATTGGCCAACTGTGATGGGCCCGGACTCTTCCGGATTACCTTCGCAAGCGTTGTTTCTGACAAATTCGTCGCATGCTCTACCTCCGGAGAATGATCGTGGGGCGGAGTCAGATAGCTCCAGGGAAGCTTGGCCACGATCTCTGCGGAATCTCCCTTATCGCCATACTAACCGGCCCTCTGGAGGATCAGTTCCCGTCGTAGCGACGGCTACCAGAGATGATACCAACGTCAGGACTACTGATCCAGACCCACTGACGATATTTGATGAGCTATGAGCGCGCTGGAGTTTCTAATACCGAGACTCAGGACAATTTTCAAGGCCAGCCTCGAGACTGTCGTATCTCCGTTGATCTAATGTGTAAACCATAAATAATGTCATGATACCCAGACTGTCCCCCAAGCATAGCATTTTTGTACATTATGCATTCATCGGCCCATTGATAATACCTCAGGGCGCTTCAGTCGCCTTCTTCTTCTTCTTATCCTCAATGAGCTCAATATTGGCCTCCGGGATCTCCTTCCCGTACACCTCGAGCAGCCATTCCTTAACATCATCACTTACATCACCCTGCACGGTAATTTCCTCAGTTCCACCCGCAGACCTAGTCATTGAAGAACCAGTAGCGAACTTCTTGCCCAGATCCTTAGCGATCTTCTTATTCTCCAACCCATATATATCCAACCCCGTGATAACAGTAACATGTTTCCGCTTGTTCCGCTCAACCCGCTTAATCTGTACCTTAGACGCCGCCTTCCGCTCAGCATCGCGCGCCTCAGCCGCAGCAGCCTTAGCCTCCTTCTTCGCCGCATCCTTAGCTGCGCGCTCCCGAGCCGATACCGACAATGTAGCAAGATTAGAGTTGAGGGCCTCTACATAAGACAAATAGGCCGTAAGTTAGCGAGCTGAGCTGAACACCCGGGAAATCCGAGAAGAAGAGGGAAATAACAACGAACCCTCAGAATATAACGACTGGTACATGTCCGGATGAGCGTCCTTCAACCATTCCTCGCATTTCTTGGCCGTGCCACCGAATTCACAGTACTAGACGATTCCGGATTCGAGGTTAGCTGGCTGCCATATGCCCTCTTTGGAGGGTCTAAATAATATATTGCTGGAAGGAGCAGAGTGGCTTCGTCCTCGCAGATGAAGATGGGCCTTAAGATCGAGTGCATAGGGCGTATGTATATATGTAAGCGTACCTCCGGAGGCAATGTGCAAACTGTTCACATCAGACGATCAGTTAAATTTTAATTCCCTCAGAAAACATCGCTTTCAAAAGCGATATCAGAGACGAGAAGAGACGACGTACCTCCACAGTAAACAACATGCTTGGCCTGCGACTCAGCAGGAACCGGTTGGGCGACTTCGGCCATTGTGATGAACTTAGAAAAATAAGAATGGACCTTTTTAGGACTGTGTTCCGGGGATAACGCTATGAGGTGTAGTAATCCAAGATACTATGAATCGATCTATCTGGACACAAAATCTCGTTCGCGCGGTATTAGGTAGGCCCCTCCCGCCGCCGCTGTCGACCGCCTCTGAATGAGCGCGGGGTCGGGTCTGGATGTACGTATTTCCTGGTGGGTTGCGGTTTGGTTTTTGGGGCTAGGCCATTTTGGGTAGCTACCTACCTATCTATATCTATCTATCATGTGATTCATGCTATGTTCTTGTATGAAGAAGAGATATTTTGGGGTTGGGAGGATAGAATTCTTGGATTTGTTTATTAGGAGACAGAAATGAGTGTTGGGAACGTCTTGGTGTCATGCCTACTATACTAGTTGGTTGGCGGAATGCTAGTATGTCATGCTCTTGTAGTGGAGGATTGAAACTTGGTTATGATGCATTAGTCGCTGGGCCTGAAGCTTCTGGTCTTGTTTGGTGTCCTGTTTATACAAGGACCGGACCCCTTTCATAGACTTTAGGATGGATCGGTTGGCAAGCTATTCTTCAGACATCCAACTTCAGACGCTGTAGCAGAGGGTACGTGTAGGTTGATATCGTAATGGGGTACCTCTTGGGCTTGCTTATGTTAGACCGGTCTAGAATCTGCAGTCAGTTGGACCTGGAACCTTTGCATGACGAGTTGCCACACGGATTGGAGTTGTCTATCCCATCCACTCAATCGTGCACCAATTCCTCGCGAATTGGGAAATGACAGTGGCGATCAAGAGCCGTCCAGCAAACATGCTCCCTGTCATGAGGCTCGAGGTTAACGCCACTGGAGTGGCTGCATAAGATCTTTGAGCAGTCGAAAACAGGATAGACCTTCGAGAATGATTCATTTCAGCCTTCGAGCATGCGACGTCTGATGCCAATATACTCGAAAGTGAGAGGCAAACAATGTGTATTGGGAAATATTCTGAGGGCAAAGAACAGCATTGTCAATGCACACGCATGCAGATAACGAAGCAGGGACTGGATCTGAAGACATGCTATCTGTCTGGACGGCGATTGGTGCTCGAAGCTCCGTGAGCCCGGACTGGCCAGCATAGTTTATGCATGAGTGACTTGGCATGGCCACATCCTCAATTGTTGGAATTGAAGACTAGAGTGGCTGCGTCTGCCGCGTCTCATAGTGCGGGCCTGCATTAGACCAGGCCTTCAACGGCAACTCTGTCAATCAATTTGTTAGCAAACCCATAGTGGCGTTTACGTCTTTCCCGCGGCAAGCCCATTTAATATGATGAGTATGTAATTGCAGGCGCCACCTCAAACATTATTTCACCATGTCGACTTAGGGAAGGGAAGATGAGCAAAGAAGCAATGTGCGAGGCAGGGTAAATCTGAATCACAAATGTATATATACGCAAGAGCCAAGAATGTACGGCGTATCAACAACGAGCTACTGCATGTGTTGGTTGGTAGCTCTTTAGTAAGATGCAGCGGCGAAGGTTGACAAGCGTGACAGTCTACATACAGTGCGCAATAGCTATTGTGTCCGCACACGGAGCGAATGCTAGCGGGGATGAGAATTACTTGCCTGTTACTAGGGCCAATTGCACCGTTGCTCCCAGTTCTAGACCACCGAAATGCCGCACTGATGATTTGAACCTAAACCTGGAAGTCACTAGAGTAGTTTGTTGTCCAGTAGGTTGGCGGTTCCGGGGGGAAAGTCACTTCGTCCGAATCTAGTCGCTGTCTCTCCGACTTAGCGAAGAACTAGTGAGGTTTGCGCAGGGCCAGATAGATGAGACCGTCAGTCAAGTAATGAGCTACCGGGCCCAATCGGTTTGACCCCCCGCACCTCATATCCTTTTCCAATGAGCAGTTGCAGCCACTCCAGTAGCCTCGGAGCCTACGAAAGGGCCCGATAGGCGTACCAGGGCCATGCGGGTGCACGGGCACCGGGGGCTTTTAGACACGTCAGTGAAAATGCCTCGTTACAGATTCCATCGGCGCTTTCGCAGAACAGATATATTGCTTCGGTTACGGCAGACTCGCGTTCGAGAGAGTCCTGGGGAAGCGCACCTGACGAGGTAAATGCCATGTTGGGAATATATCTACTATCAACTAACAATACGCATGAAAACGAGAGGAAGCGAAGACATACGGGAAGGAGACCCGGGGCAAAGCCGGGAAGACGGACGCATCGCTGGGTTTTGCCTCTCTATGAACACCCCGCGTTTGAAAGCGGGCTAGAATGATCGACGGTGGCCTGGCCTGAACGTTTCTTTCCGGTTGGTGTTGGATAGTCGGGGTTGTCCGTGGCTCCTTCAGTGAGTATAGGCCTAAATATAGCTGTTCTGATAGGCCATGATAGGCCCTGATAGGCGATTCAATCCCTCCAGTTCGGTTCCTTGGGTCCAAGGCAATCTCGATCATCTAGATTGGGTCTGCCATCCATATAGGTTCTCAAGCGACGTAATTGTTGATAAGGCGAAGGTGGTACACAGAGGTCCGTGATGAGTAGGACAAGAATGTCTAGCCAATCATAACGGAGGTAGATGATAGCATGCGAACAACGGGGGACGGTCTATGCAGTAGTATGTCCCATATGCAAGCGTGGCTGGTTGTTGCTTAATCCCTGAGTACCGCATGCGGCGGTCGACCAAAGAGAAACGTCAAAACACCCCTCGTGGGAAGGTCCTTGCGTTTACGGCGTACGTACCACGATCTGTCATCCTTGCCATCAGTTGTCTGACATGCATCGAGCCGCCTTACGGGCTTCTTTGACGCCAATCTTAATTACAAGATTGTTTCACCCCCACTTGTTGTCGAGAGATGAGGGGCTGTTCGCTTGCACGTTTGACCACGCCACAGGGGGAGATGCGCAGACAGGGACGGACATGGCTGGGCCGCTAGTCAGAAGGAGGATGCGGACGAGTCTCTGGAAACGAGACCGTAGCTAGTCTTGTAGGTATTCCTAGTGCGCATTTGAGTGTCCGGAAACGGGCACTAAGCGCGGATCAACGGACCCAGGTGGGCGTTGTTTTTGAGGGATTGGCGCGAAGAAGTACTTTGGCCATATAATTAGTTAGCTCTGGCGTTTTGTCAGTCAGCATTCAGCAAGATCCAAATCCGAAGCTTCTCGTGGATTTTTAAAGCAGGCCATTTCAAAGGAAAAAAAGCATGACATCATGACCTCTTAGGCCCAGAAATAGTTCAATTTCTTCCAATAACTTATCCATGATGACAAGATGAAGATGGGAGACGACATAGATCGCTAGAGACAAGATCGTATAATAGCTCCGGTGAGTGTTTACGCCAGACGCTCGGATCCACGTGCTCCACCGCAGGCAGGAGAGACCTGCGTGCTTAGTGTTCTGTCCAGCCCTCGCTCTAAACTAGCAGTCCAGCTATCTACCTAGTCTAGTCCAGTCCGTGCCCTACTGCTCTAGTACTTCACGAGCAAACATGCAAATGACGGAGGAGTAAGTGACTTAACATATCGGGCTTAGGGCGTCGAGATGGTTTACTAGAGGGTTATGGGGCATCCACTTTGCCCTATCGAGAGACAAATAATCGTACTAGACAGACAGTGGTAGTACAGAGCACTAGCTTGAAACTGAAGACTGAACCATATTGGAGAACAAACATCGCTGTCAGCGTGGTCGATGCGCGGGTGCTCGTTCAAAGCGTATGCAAAGCAACCGCACCAAAACATCCGTGCATTCCGTCTAAGACATTGGAAGAAGGTAGTAATCGGCGAGATGACACAACTAGCCGGAAGCTTCCAGCATCCCGTGTTATCCCGAGGACTTGTCGGCTAGGAACTTGAACACTACCTCCCGGAGGATAGCCACAGGGCCCTGCCTCAATTTGTTGACTAGTTATATACATCCATTCATGCTTAGTAAAGAGGAGACACAGGGAAACCCTAGCTTCTAATATGAAGATTATGATTAGTAGATCGTACAGTTCTAGGTGGATCGGGTCATTCATCGGGAGGAGAAGGGGAAATGGATCTTCTCTGTTTTGCGGGTGCCCCGGAATGGACGAGCAACGGTCGCGCATTGGCTTGCCGAGGATCTGGGATCTGGACTTCAACAGACCGTGCGGAGGTTTCCCCAGAAATCCAAACAGGCAGGAGGAGAGTGGCCGACAAACTTTCGGGTTCTTTGTTCTGCTTCTCCTTATCAATATCACATCATCCTCTCCCAAGGGATGCTGTGGGAATGAAAAGCCGGCGGGTCCGATACTGGACGTATTGGGAGGGGTTTCGCTGAGATAATTCTCCGTGTTGTGGCATGGGAATGAGATTATGATGATGTTCGCGCTAGCTGCCATGCCCCGTCTAGTCTGGTCTAGTACGATGTAGTTAGGTGACTGGATAAGGCCATTGATCTGTCATCCCGGAATGGGGAGGTAGTAATCTATCGCACGTCCCTCCTGGACAGCTTCAAACCGGATGTTAGGAAGAGACCTCCCTAGAGTGCATAATTAGCGCATCGTGGGGGGTTTCGGAGCCCTTCTAGACTCCGGCCGCAGTACGTAAAGTCCGGTCGATGATTGATTGATTGGTATGCAGCTAGGTATAGATCGGAGGTTGTAACTAGATACATAGCTCGGTTCCTGATAATAAGGTAGTAATTAGCTAGACAGCCCAGTACGGATATCTAGTCGTAGATACGAAGAGGGTAAAACCTCCAATACGTCCGAGGGACATTGCTTCATGAGGCTGGCTCTGGATCGTCGATGTTCGGGTGTCAAGACTGGTCTAACCCCACCTTAACTGGAGCCAATGACAGGCTGTGATATGCCTCATGGGACCCACACTCATGCACCACGAAAGTTACACCAATTCAGTGCCGACCAATCAGCAATGAGCCAGAACACTTGCACTAGACGGGAAAGAGTAAAACTCACTGGAGACTAGACCGACAAGTCTTAGCGCAACTGCTTCGTCCCCACCCGGCCGGTTTTCCATTCGAGGTACCGTCGCCATGATCACCTTGCGAGCAGTTGGTTCTCCGGTGGCAAACAAAATCGACAGAGAGAGAAAAAAAAAAAAAAAAAGCACCGAATAGATTCTATGCTGGTTCAACCTTGTTTGATGCCCTCCTTGGGAGGTACCCGTACCTAGGTACTGTGCGCTGCTTGATACGAAGGAGAGAGAGAAGGGGGGGTGGGAATATCCTCGTACTTCTTTCTTAACCCACGCGTACGTCAATCGTAATCAACTCTCCAACAATCCTCCTTCCGCCAAGCCATCGACGCGGTACCCTGCGTCTCTGATCCCTCTCGTTGGTTTATCTACCAAACCTCACTTGATCCGCGCGACATCAACGCTTCTTTTCCCCCCCTTCGCCCCCCCTACGGTCGGGTATCTAGACTCTCTAGAACCTCCAACGTCCTGAACCTGGTCTAGTTACCTGGGAAGAATAAAAGATTTTCATTCAAACGAAAATTGAGAATTAGAAAAATAAATACGGGAAAGAAAAAGAAAAAAAAAAAAAAAAAAAAAGAAAAAGGAAAAGAAAAGCAATAAGAAGAAACAACGGTCTAACCCTCCCATGCATTATCGAATCTCCACTCGCCACTATCACTGAGCTCGCACTCGAGAAAGAAAGAGAGAGAGACAAGAGGTATTTCCAGTTTCCCGCCGCTTCCCGTCAACGTTACTTTACGACTCTTGCCTTTCACCCTGCGACTCTCATACACGCTGGTTTTATTCCCGACCTTTCATCTTAATCTAGCTTCGACCCCATCCAAGTTTCCGATCCTTTCGTGCGACCGAGCAAAAGGCCTTCTCCACCCCCCTCCGAGGGGCTTGTTTGGAGCCGTTAATAACTCTTGCATATCACTCCTTCCCCGACACCTTGATGGCTCCTTAAGACACATCTTGCTAGCTCTCTCGTCCTATAACATCTCCGAGGTGCCTTAGCTGCCCCTTTATATATGCTGCCAATCAAGACCAAATCGTACTCTGGCCTACCCCATCTTGTACCATGATCTCAGCACTTTGTCGCCATTCCTAGATAGCGGGCCTTCTCTCGACGCCTTTCGCGCCTTTCCATTGGAGACGAAACATCCTATTTCAACCAATTGTTCCACCTTTTCTTCTTCAGTTCCAGCCCTTGCAGCGGCCACCTCTTTCACAGTTTGCCCTTATGTACCTGATTGAGCTGCTAGGATGACGGCCATACTTCCCGCCTCGAATGAGGGGCGCTCACGCTTCTCTCCGGACCCTTTGCGAAGTCCAATCACTCAAACCTACTTCCTCGAAGAGCCCAATGTTGCTACGGCCAAGTTCAATCTGCCCGCATACCATCGCAAGGATCGTTCTGATGCCGTGGTGTCCTCGCCGTCGCGGTCAGAGTCTCCATCCCCAGATTTCACTATTACAGCAGTGGGGAATCTCCCTCCCACGCCTGCATCTCTGAGCAGTTTATCTCTTATGAGTGAGGACCATGATGACGACGAGTTGGTTCTACCTTCGTACGATTCCAGTCAATTCGCACAAAAGGAGCCCGAAGCCCTCAGTGATGTGTCTGTGGACTCCTCGGCGGACTTTGCACGCTTGACACAGGCACCAGCTGCTGATGATAGTACGATCGAGGACGAGCCATCGAGGCATGTGGATTACCTTTCTCATGAATGGAGACAAGAGGATATTTGGGCGTCGTGGCGTTATGTCGTGGCTCGGAGGAACGTTTACGATAATGGGACAAGGCTAGAGAATGCCTCGTGGAGGACGTGGGCTAAGCTGAAACTCAATCTGGGCACAGTATCGCCAGAAGCCCTCAACTGGTCAGTTCTTTTTGTCATAGTCTCCCAGGATTTGGTTCTTTGCTGATACCCCTTACAGGCTGAAGGACTGCGATGTAACGTGGTTGTACGGACCCTTAAAGACATCCAATAAGCGGGAGAAGGCATTCAATGGCTCTCCTCCTCCCAGCCGTCTAGAGACACCTACCTTATATCCGGATAGGAAACCGATTCTGAAGAAGAGGACGGCTTCTGAGACTATCTTGCAGCGTTCTCTGTCCCAGCATACACTCTTGCAACATGCGGGTGCCATTCTAAAAGCACAGGAGGCTGAAATCAACCGTAATCGTCCCCCATTACAGAGGGCCTCCTCGGAGTATGGACATCTACTTAGCAAATCGTCCACCACTCCCGTGGGGGGTACCGTTAAGGGTACCGCCACAAATACGTCAACGTCGGCCACTCCTAGCGAACGACGGCATATTCACTTCAACAACGAGGTGGTGCAATGTATCGCTGTCGAGGCGAAAGAGGAAGACGATGGATGGCCTGTTCATTTTGGGGATGAGTCATCAGAGGATGGTATCGTTATGATGAAACACATCCATTCCGACTCGTCGCTCAGCGACAAAGGTACGCCTCGTGGTAGCCTTGCTGGCGAAAACAAAACCATCGCCCCGCTTCCTTCCACCACACTCAAGTACCGATGGGATGCGTCAGATCATCCGGATTTGCAAGATTGTCGAGGGGATGCCCGTGCGAACCGACAATCCACATCAGAATCGCCAGCATCCTCAATAATGGGTCGGTGGTCCAGCTACTTCTCAAACTCCACGTCTCCTACTTCATCCGGAGCCGAGAAATCGACGCGGACAAATGGACGATCTGGCAGGAACATTGCACCATCTGCCAATTTTCTGCTTGATGAAGAAGAGAATGACATGGAATTTGACTGGGAACCAAGCCGCAACTCATATGGCCTAGGGAGTCTAAGCCGTCCTTGGTTTGTGAATCCAGAAGATGATGAGGAGCTCGATTACTACTTCCATTCGATGTCTCCGGGAGGAATGACACCCAATGAAGAAGATGATGAACCATTGAGTGCAAGCATCTTTGACCGTGTGGCGGACACCGTAAACACAGCCAAGGATATTGCACATGTGATATGGAACGTCGGCTGGCGGCGGTGATTTTCTCTCCTTGGAGCATCTCTAAGGTCGCAGAGCGGGCTTTACGACTTAATGCACTTAATTTCCTAACCAACAATTTCTCATGCATCTTTCTTATACAATAAACGACCAGGAAGACGGGTTGCGGCGTTCTGAGCTTTCACCAATCAATGTTGCTGGCTGCTGGTCGACGATAAAAGGGGTTACAGGAGGGATTGTTTATTTCTTTTTCTACATTTTCCATGGGGCTGTATGTGCCTGGAGGAAGCCGGAATCTCCAGAATATGTTTTGGCGTAGTTCATGTTCGGTTTTGGTTCTGCCTGGGGGCGTTCTTCGATGGGCTTTCATGACGGCTTTAATTTCCTTGCATCTTATTTTCCTTTCACTCCCAGATATCACCACGCGAGGTAGCATTGACTCCTTATGACCCAATGAGACATATGATGATCCAACACACAAGCAGGTGGAATATCTACTGAAGTAGTGTACATTATGTTACAACCCAGAACATCCTTTCATACATACCAAATTAACACATCTCCCACCCAACTCCATTAGTAGTTCAGTCAACAATTACAAGTATGTCACCATAACCTTCTACTACATGTAGACAATTACCTACTCCTGCTCGTGGAGCACGGCATTTCACTCTTCCCTACCTCTTCCCCCAAAGACGAAACCACCCTCCTACCAACCCGCAACCCATCGATGATACTAACCATAGATAAGCACGACTTTCCCACCACTAGTGACTTGTCAAGAAAACCCAGACCCAGAAAATCAATCAGATCTAGAATGTATGTAATGAATAGAAACAGAACCCTAAAACCAGACAGACAAAAACACATCATTTCTAATACTTACTACAAGGGTGTTCCTTTCTTGCCCTCCGTTACTTTTCTTTCCTAGTATCAATTCTCGTCTCCCCTGCTTTACGAGAACTTCCGGCCATAGCCAAGAGATAAATCTATACCAAGTAAACCACGCAACTCGTCCATGACATATCCCCCTAATGGTGAAGACTAGGTACCTATTTTCCGTATGTAGGAAAAGTTGGATAGCTTGAACCTATAGAACGTAAGGTACTTTTATAAGTTTCATCTGATGCAGAAATGGAGAATGTCAATCGCCAATCGGAAGAAGGGGGATAGAAGGCAGGCAGACAGGTTTATTGTGTGGTTTGCTTGGAGGTGGTGGGGGGGGGGGGGGGGGGGGGGGCAGGTAGGAGGATAATGCGGCATAAACTGCGAATTGATCAATAGGATGAGATGAGTAAAGAGTGAATCAGGGAATGAGGGAACTAGTCAACTAGTAGGTATGTACTTTGTCAAGTCGGGAGGTTAATTGGTTGGTTCTCGGTGGACTGATTAATAACGAGTGCTATAAGGGGAGGGCTGATGGGATTAAGCATCGGTGCCTAATCGCTGGTGGGGATTAGTACAAACTAACAATCTGCTACGGAGTAGTAGTTACATAGTCATCTAATGGGCACGGATTCAAGGGAGACCGTGCATCTAGTTGGCCAGAGCGGGTCTGGAGCCGGACCACGTCGTGCTCAACGTTACGTCAGTACGGCTAGAAGCGGGCTGGCTGGCTGGCTCATCTTGGAGATTCAGTATATTCAGGGGTGGTGGAGAGATTTGAACGATGTTTAAATGAGACCATTGTATTGTACTTGTGGGCTCAGGAGCCACAGACCTCCAATATCAGGGTTTGCGACGATGTATATGCATGCACCAATAGCAATAACCAACTCCTAGATACCTATAAACCTAACTCCCTTTTGCATTCGAGGTTTTCTGGACTGTAACGAGGAGTATCAGCATCATGATTGGAAATTTACTGGTCGATATCGATCTTATTTGTAATGTGTACTTACATTGGGTATCATCAACAAGGAACAAGAGGGACGGAAACACGGGCGACGCGTGCGTTGCAGAGTGACTGCATAGCACCACCATACATAGCAGAAAACAGGGATTCAGAAAGGGTTCCCATAAGTATAAGAAGTAGGGATAAACCCCTGTTGAGGTTCCTTGACCTCTGCTTGGTTAAAAGCAAGATGTAAATAAAAGAGAAAACGGCTACTCAACCCTCCATCACATCTTCCGTAGTATCACGGAACGTCTCCGGGAAAAAGCCCGGTGGCGGCCAAATATCGGCAATTGAGGGAGGATGCACTAACGGCTGAGTCCCAGCGAGTCGGTCTGGGTCATGGCAGAAAGCCTGGAACGTACTCTCGTCAATAAACCCGAAATCCTTCAGCGCAGCCTCGCGATTGTTAGCCCACTCTGTGGTGTCGAGGTATGCAAGATCCTTGAAGATGGCGTCAATGTCGCCTGTCGACCCGATACGCTCTGTCGTATCCGAGCCCCTATCCCCCGAAGGTACAGAACGTTCGTGTATAACACCCGGGCCTGTGACCGACATCATCGAACTCGACACGCCAGAGTCGGGTGTGGACGGATGGGGGCGTGGGCCCCGCGGTAATGCTGCATTCAAAGCAGCAGTCGGCTCGGACTTGTCCATGTGTGCCGCCCGTCCGTCCAAGGGTTGTTGGAAGGATACGTCCATCATAGATAGCTCAGGATTCTCCACCGTGGGATCTTTTGGCGTCATGTACTGTCCGTCTACAGGGATAGTGATGCCCATGATAGCGGATGTATAATCGGAATCCCCCATTCCAGGTGCAGCCCTTCTCATATGAGGGTTCATCGAAGGCTCTCTCATTATGCTGGGATACCCTGCCGCCGATGTTGCTATAGACTCAGGGGGTAGTGCAGTACTGGTCATACCGCTAGCCATTCCGGGTGCTGATCCTGCCTCTGCGGGCTGATAGGATAGAGGAAGGTTTCCGGGAAGATCCTTAGAACGGTACCAGTGATCGATCGAAGCAGACAATGAACGATACACTGGCCAAGTTGAACTGAGCTCCGTGGTTCGCTGGAGAAGCGCTTCAGTCCATCGTCCGAAAGGGAACATGTCGGATTCAATCTTATTGCGCAGAGTGAACGCTTGTTCGGCGATAGTGCGTAAAGAAAGCTCGAATATGGGCGGCAAGCCGCAAACCTGGAAGTTATCAAGGTGCTGGGACACCATCGGAAGAGCTCTATAAAGGAGCTTCTTGGCTCCTTCGATAGCTGGCCGTTGGGAGCGGTGCAACCCGAGCTCCTGGGGCGCAATGCGCAGATAAAGCCATAGAAGCGTCGCCACATATGTCAGGCCAAGGTAGCTCTGGTGTGGGAGTAACGCCGAATGTCGTTCCGGATAGATACTTTCCGGGCCAATCAAGCGACATCCGAGCGGGAGACGATCATCCCATTGCTTGAGCTCCATGACCAGTTGTTGTGCAAATAAGGGTGCGTTTGGTCCGGCCGTGGAATCGCGAGCAATCTTATTTAGCACACCGGCTAACTCGACCAGTCGATTGAAGCAGCTTAAAGCGAGCAGCGGACCCCGACGAGGGGGGCTCTTCCCCTGTCCAGCTCCCGTGGGTGGCAAGACGTCCGCCCACGAATTCCACTCTTCCAAGCCATCTTCTTCCAACAGGCCGACCATGGTGAGATCACGAGGATGCATGCACGGTCGCCTCGACAAACGGAACGAAAGCAATGAGTCGATCACGAAACAGCCAAGAAAAACCGCCTTTCCTTGCCTCAACTCGTCCGATCGTCGAACGTCCATAAAGGCTCCAAGATCCATAGAAATGGCCATGCGCACAGCCTGACCACTCAGCAGCCAGGCAGCGGTCCAGTCCTCCAGGCCGATGTTCACCAACGTCAGCAGCAACAGTGCCTGCACATGTCCAAGCTCGAACCGCTCCGTTTCAGAAGGGATCAAGCTGCGAGCTACCGAGTAATACTCCTTGGTCTTCGAAAGCGCTTCCAACGCCCCGTCCTGCGGGTTAACCCGAGATTGAGAAATGGTATAACTGAGCAAGGCCCACAATGCGGCGTGGTCGCCCGAACCTGGGGCCATTTTTGCGACGGATAACGGCGCGCTTGCATACAGGTACGACGCTCGTAGAATGTTATGTTTTGCGACGATTGGGAACCATGAGTGAGTGACTGCGAAATAGACGTCCAACAGTTGCGAGGTCTGCGGGGGTAATTGTAGGGCATTCGTAGCGCTAGCGGTATACGACGGGATCCTGCTGTCGGTAGGAGCGGCCAGCCGAGGCCTTTTGGCACGGGGGGAGATGGAAGGCTCAACAACACGCGGAGCATCATGAGCGAGAGGAGTCGAGCTACGGTCAATGCGAAAACCCCATTCACTTCCGGTGCCGTCGTCTTGGTCCTCCCGGGAGCGCTTTCCTGAGCTCTCAGTAACTGGTTCAGAGTTAGAAAGCATCTTCTCGAGCGCACCATATAGGCGACTGGTTTTCCAAGATTCATGCAGTGTCTCTGACGCGCCATCATCAGTCCATAGAGACATGAGCTTTTGTCTCCGACCAGCTGATTCGGCAGTGGTTCCCAGCAGAGTTAGCATTGTGTCTTCGAAACCCTCGATATTGCAGATCGACAAGGCCCAGAGCTTCTCCAAACCACGAACATAGCCCTCTGGCAGCCCGCGCTTCTTTGCATGGGGATCATATGAGCAGGTCTGGCCTGAAGCCTGGCAGGCCGAACAAGCGGGACGTAATCCATCGCACTTGTCCTACAAGCGGGAGATCATTGTCAGTATGGAGGGTGGAAATCAGAAACATGGTGGAGAACTAGATAGAGACTGCAGGACAAGCAGATCCAGGATGGGGGTAAAGGAAGTAGGAAAGAAGTAGCAGATCGCCAATTGAGAAGGTAGACAGCTGAGCTGTAGCTCCGAGGAGATAAAAAGCACCGAAAACGGGCAAGTACGTGACGTGACGCAAGAACGCCGCCCCGAGCATTACCGAGTACAAAACGAAAAATCACCTGCAGTTCGGGGTTGTATTGCACCGATCGGGCTAAAAGCAAGAGGAAAAAATGGAGATGGAGAAAGGGAGGGGGACATCTATAAAAGAGTGGAGAGAAGGAAGAAGCAGAGAGAAGCCAAAATAGAAGGTATTAATTGATTGTGTCTCACTGACCTTTTTACTTCGACAGCGATCACAGGCTCTCGACACCCTCTTCCGTCGAGGGGCTTTAGAATCGGAACCCTCGTCCATGGGAGAGGGTTAATTAGTAAAAATATGGCATGTCATGAAAGCAGAGAAAAGAGAGGAAGAAGAGAAGAGGGTAGCGAGCGAAAGGTGGTCGGGCCTCCCAAAAAGACACCGACCAGAAGGGGGAAGGTTTAAAAAGGCGTGACGGAAAAGATAATTCAGTTCAGTTCAGTCAGTAGGGAATAGGAATAATAGGTAAGTGTAAAGTAAAGTAAACTGGGAAGGTTAATAGTCGCCAGGCAAGCCGAGAAAGGGACCACGGCGGAGGGATTGGAGCAAGCCGAAAAGGTTATCCCGCAGTGCATGTCCGTCTGTTATAAAACAAGAACCTCGGGTCCCCAGACGCAATCGGAAAAGAACTTGTCGAGAAAAGCGATGGCAAGTATTACGCAAGAATCCAGGGAGTCTAAAGATGGATGATAGCTACCACAGCCACCTCAGGGTCTCGCTGTTGAATCTCCTTGGTCCATCCAATCCAATATGGAGTTGTGCATCGGCCCAGACCCATCCTGAGGCAACCAAGTTTAGAAGGGGGATCCGGGAAAGCGTAAAAAAAAAAAGACACTACGAACTTGCAATCTGAAGGGACCGCAACGGGGGAAAATACATGGGACGGGAGAAGGAGGGGAAAGGAAAAGATCGGGGCAAAATGTCGGGATGAGCAAAAAAATTTGGAAAAAAATAAAAATAAAATGAAATGAAATAAATAAAAGTTGACTACTCTCGACTTTACACTAGTTCACTGTGTCTTAAGTGAGTTAGTGGATGATGGTTGGGTTTAGTCGCCTTTTCCGGGTGAGTTTTGGGTTCCGTCGGGACTGAGATTGGCAGCTGCAACGATTTGCCAGAATTCAATGCTAAAGGAAAAATTGAATAGAGAATAGATCAACTAAATGAAGGAAAAAAAAAAAAAAGACCTTTTCCGCTCTCAAAACAGTAAGAACATCGAGTTAACTTAAACGATAGTGCTAAAAAGGGCATTTACAAAGAGTTTCCCACTTTTTGTGTGGTGTGAATCTCCTCAGAATGGAAGACCATGTAGTGCCTGAGGCCAGCACCCCACACCGGATCCCCACGGCTTCTCCACGACGCGGTGTGGGAAAGTTTCCTCCCAACTAACTGGCTTCTCCTACGCCCCTACACAGTCCCTGCACCTTTTGGCTGCAGGAAAACCGAGACTTCCGCCATCCTTCGCCGTCTTGGCTCGGTGGGATTTGTGCTCTCTCCATAATCCATACTCCATCACACCCGCCCGATACTTAGTGTTGTCTGATAATAATAACTCCCTTGTGCTCAGCCTCCTCCGTTCCTAGCGACTCGCAAAAATAGCATTCTCTTGAACCGTGTGAATCAGCCAAGAAATCTTCGCATCAACAATGCGCGTAAAACAACCATTGCCAGTTCCTATTATTATCTTTCGCGTCTGAGGGTACTAAATAAGTCCAGAGGACAAGAATAGTGTGCATCTAAGCTTTCGAACCTATAATGTTCCTACTTTCTTAGTTCCCCTTCCCACCCCCCCATCCATGGCCATCATTATATCCCGACTACGAATCATGGGTCCTCCAACGCTGACCCCAAACATCCATTGTCCGTGGCTATCTACAACACCTAATGGATAGACGAAAAGTGCGCCCAACCGTCTTCCTGATTATCAAACTCGAAACCCACCAGCCCAATCATTGAGCAGATAGGAACCGCCGAAAACCGGCCATTCCGCTGGACCAACCATGAAGTTCACCCCACAAAGGTGTCGAGCCAAAGAAGAATCCAAACCATGACTAGTCTACTGTCTAATGTGGCACTCCGAACTAACCGACCCTTTCCCACTTCTGATTCGCCGGTTGCAGGGGTCCGACACCCTTCCTGGTACTCCGTACATCCTTCTCTTCAGCATGCTCCCTGTCCGTGTCAAGCTCTTGACTCGGCCCATAAATAATGACCATCAGATCATTCGTGGATCCGGGAAACGATCCGGCATCCCGACTCGGTAGTCATGCAGATGGAGGAGATACACATCTTCAAGGGTTCATCAGTCCCAGGCCTCCGGCGTCGGTATACCCATCGGGTCCGAACAATCGTGCAGGGTCCTTACCCCGGGGACACGAAGTGATACAGTAGTACCACTCAATATACTCCATTTAATTTTAAGCATATACATTCAATTCAATGCTACTGGGCTAATGGGCTGAGGTGCTAGAGCTTAGAGGGATGTTGGCACAGATTGACCCGGACTTGACAGAACAATTATCTCTGCCGATTGGTTTACCATCATTTTCGCAGCTGCTGGCTACCCACCTATTAGCCCATCACACGCCCGCTAAACAGGCGTTTTGTTTCTGCCTGGAGAATGGGGTCGGTTTACTTATCAGGGATGCATGCTTATTGATTAATGATTAATATTAGTATTGCGGTTGAAGAGACTAATTGAGTAGGTGGCTACCGATGGATCGGGGGTTACACTCAGGCCAATCTATGTCGTGTACGGTGAGTCCCGCGGATGGAGATCGTCTATCCGGCTATTGTCTTATCCGGTAACAGTACGGAGGGCAGGCGGTCACTCGTGGCAGATGCAGTGGTCCGGCAATGCGGCTGGAGATGCTGAACCCGCGAACCCTTTGGGACTCCGGTGGCTGATGACCGCAACCGAGCATTCTTGCCATGGTCCCCCGGCTGTCATCTTCTGGTTCTGTTATAATCACACTTTCTCCAGCGCGCCCCCCCCTCCGTTGCCTTTGCCCAGCAAACCAATCACGCCTACTAGCCCAGCCTGCTTTACGCGTTTCCGTCCCATTGCTGCCCTCGCAGGCATGCCAGCTGCTGCGCCAATTGACCGCCTTCGTCCCTGCTGCACTTACTGCACTCCGCCTCCGCCCGACAGCTAGCAAAGCTAGTCGGCCATTTCCTCACCCCGCCATCTTCCCCGGTATACTAGCTTCTCCGCTTCAATCACAAACAGGAAAAAATAAAAAAAAAATAAGAGCGGCCCTCACCAACGCTATTCACCCTCAATTGAAGCATGGCAACTCCGAATATGACGGAGAGCAGATGATTGATCCTCACTGGGTTGCTTCGGACATACTGCTGATATCATCTCGATTTATCGTTCCTTCAAGCATCTTAGATTTTCTGCAGCGGACGGTCTTGCTTCCCGCGCACCGACCACACAAGGCGTTTGTCCCACTGATCCACGTAAACGTCCACAATGCACAAGATTTCCCCGGTAGATAAGCGCCGGAGATTTGATCCTGATGCCTCTCTGGTGCTCGTGGGCATCCGGGGGTGCGGGAAGCGGTCTCTGGGATTTGTTGCTGCCACTGCGTTAAAACGGCGGTTCATCACGGAAGACCACTATTTTAAGGAAGTGACCGGATATACCAGGCATGAGTATCTCAAGCGCTATGGAAGTCAGGAATTCCAGCAACGCGATGTCGAAGTCCTCAAGTCAATGCTTGACAACCACCGCTCCCGCTGCGTGATTGAATGCGGTCTCGGCAGTCTTACTCGTCCGGTTCAAGAGCACCTTCGTCACTATTCTGCTACCAATCCAATTGTATACATAGTTCGCGACATGGATCGCATTCAAAGCCTATTAGGTCTGGAGGAGCAATCGGTAAAACTGCTTGCCGAGGGCGATCCCTTACACAGAACATGCTCCAATTTCGAGTTCTACAACGTTGAAGATCGTTCCAGTATCGCGGCTCAGACGGATGAGGGATCGCCGGACCGACGATGTGTTGATTATTCCTTCAAGTTGAAGGAAGCGAAAGAGGATTTCACGCGCTTTGTGCGTTTCGTGACTGGTACAGATGTAGGACACACCAGTTATGACTCGCCTTTTGTCCTACTTGAGACTCCCCCCGAACTTCGCTCCTTCACCCATGCCATTTTTGTACGAACTTCCGACCTGGCAGAAGGCAATGTTAAACTACAAGAGCTTGAGTCAGGTGGTGATGCCATTGAACTGTGTGTTGACCGCTGGGGCGCGGGACTGACAGCAACTCTCAGCAAACAAGTCGCTCTACTTCGGAGGAATGCTCGTACGCCCATCATAATCTCGATAGATAAATCTTCTACAGGAATTGCTAGAGATGATCTGTCTCCCGCAAAGGTGAACAATCTATATTTCGCTATTGTGGAGCATGCCCTACGGCTGGCGGTCGAATATCTGGCCGTGGACTTGAGCCAGGAACAGTCTCGAGTGGAGGAGGCAATTCGCACCCGCGGCAACACAAAGATTATTGGTCAACGCATATTTGAACCTTCTGCGCCAGAGACGTGGGAGAGCGAAGAATGCCTTTCCCTCTATTTTGAAGCCGAGAAGCTGGGGTGCCAGCTCGTTCGCTTT